AGTTGGCCAACTGTTGGCAACTGCCAGCCGAACTGTTCGCCAGCAGAGTGGCAACGCGAAAAGGAGCAAAAGAGGAGGAACCCGTCTGGCGGGATGCACTGAAAACAAATTAAACAAATAATTAGAAAAAAAGGGAAATACTTCAGAGGGTTGTTAAGAGGAACTATGACTATTTATAGTTAGAAGTAGTTCACTTAAGCTTAGTCTCCTCTTAAGAACTCAATATATTTCTTAGCTAGTTTAAGTTCACTGTGTAAAGTCGCTTGTTCTGGGCATTAGCACAAGGCAACCAAACTTAATAACGATAACGATGAATATTATTTTCATGCACAAATTGCGAAAACTTAATTGTTGAGGCGACTCTTGGTTTTCCCAGTTCCCAGTTTATCGGCATTTGGCGGCTGCTTTCCTAGCGGTAGATTCCAGATCCTTAAAATATCCAACTTTTAGAGATCCTCTCCCGTACCCCCGATCCCCTGGTAATTTGTTGCTGTTGGTCAGGTTGTGACACTGCGAGTTATACGATGTGATAAGACAATAAATATTTTCACCATCTGCAGTTCAATTATGCATCGGACCACTTCAATTTGTCTCTGGGGGAACCTGTCCGAGTTACTAACTTGCCACCGCATCTCCATCAGCATCTGGTTGCCACCATTTGCAGTCGGCTAATTTGGTTCGGATGGGTTGTGATTTGGTATTGAACGAGTTCCGTGGAGTGATATGTGATGTGCAAATAGTTGCGGGTTCTCTGTCATAGATTTTATAAGTGGCAAGATGTCGTAAAATCAAGAAATGGCATTTGTAAAAAATTCCAAAAAATATCATGAGGCAGAATAGTAAACATTTTGGCTTGCAGAGTTAAACACACATTTCCTCTAACCCTGATCAGATAATATTTTATTGCCAACTGCAAAACTTTTTCGATTCGGAGGCAAATATTTATGATAATTATAGACATTCGCTGGCAGGGAAATAAAATCATTTCATGGCACTAAATGATAGGCCTGCGAGCGGAACCGTAAAACCGGGGAAATCGAATCGAAATTTGTGTACAAACATGCGACAATGAAAGCCAACTCTGCGGCAAACAAATCGAGTTCCGGCCAGCGCCGAGTGCATATTGATGGACTGTAATTACAGCCTGTACCGGTGTCCTTCCATCCTGAATTTCCCCCTTCGAGGATGAGTGTCATGCGTTAAAGAAGCTACCCCACTTTATAATTCATGCTTTTCCAACCTCAAATTAAACACAATTGCGCGGGAACCGAACAAACGGCCGGTGAAAACTTGGGGTTCCCTTCCGGAGTTCAGACCCTCCGTTCCATTCGAAATGGGTCCTTTATTTTGGGGATGTGCGGGCGTGCGGGCGTGCGAGGCTATGTAATTTGAGCAAAGTTTTCGAAATTGTTAAGTGCCCAATTGTGCGTGTGAATGTGTGTGTAATAGAGCGTCACCAGGAGGAGGGACACCTGTTCCAGTTCGCATTGTCCTGGACAAAAGGATGGGTTTCGGAGGGTGATGGCTGATGGGTGATGGGTGGGTGTGGTGGCATCAGGTGCTTTGGCTTCTTAAATAATTTGTGCAGCGAGCCATTTAAATCACAGCCAGGACAATGGTTTCCTTGGCATTAACTCAACAAAGTCATCTGAATTATTTAAAACTGTTGCACAACGAATTCAAATATGACGCTGAAAATATTTGTTAATAAGTTATGGAGATTATTCGCTTTATATTTATTTTATTGAACCAAATATTAAAGCTTCGTATTATTTATTCATTCATCTAGGTTTTATAGGGTTTCCCCTGACAAATTCCCTTCCAACTTAAGGTTCTATCCGCCCGCATTGAATCGCAAATTAATTCTGTTCTATAACTCAACACACAATGCTGTCAAAATATTGAGTTTTTTCCCCTTCAGCTAAATTATCAACGGCGAACGAGAAACCAGGCAAAAAAAAAAATAATAAAGACAGCCAAACGTCAAAGAGCGTCGGCAAAATTCGCATCTTCTCCATCGGGTTTTGGCTTTTTGCAGAAGCTAAAGGTTGTCGCTGATGGCCAGACAGAAATCGCATGCAGACAATAAATTTCCCATTTTATTTTCGCCGCGGAGCGGGCTTATGGCATTTTTATTACGAATGGGTGAAAACAAAATAAGCAGTAAAATTAATCGTCGACTAAGCTGGCGATTAAGAGAAATATCAAAGACGGCGTCCATTTTCGCTGCCCGCAGTTGAAAACTCAGTTCGAAGTGGAATCTTTTGAGGGTTCGAGGAATTGATTTTAGGTATTGGCTATCTTTACGAGAGTAGAGACAAATTGGCTTGATTGAATTGGGCAAATTGGAAAGCCAGCAGGCCACTTTGACATAATGGGAAGCTCAGTCAACAAATATTTAAAAATACTTAACCAGAATACAGTCATATAAGGAAGTTTATTTTAATTGAATTAATGTAATGAAATCTACCCAACTGAGTGTGAACTCAATTAAAATAATATTCTGAGAATGGGTCTCCTTTGTTAAGATCTTTGTTAAGATCAAATCAGCTCAGTTATACTCCATTATATCAAAGCCAATCCCCAATTTTCCTCTGATTTCCCCCGTGGAAAAGTGATCTGGAAAACCCTTTCCATTGCGCAACACATGTCTCTCCACCTTCTCTTCGCAGGATTAGATCCCAAACCAAACCATATGTGCCATACGCTATTCAAAGGTGGATCGTCTCGATTTCCTCGATTCCATCTTCGATGTGTTCGAACACACCTTTTCGGCTGGGTGTGTAGTGTAAATTGAGCTCTAATCAAGGAGCCGATCGCAAATCCTTTCAAGCCAGCTCACGTTCACCAAAAGGTGCCGAAAGCAAACATCTAGTGAAAGGATTAGGGTCTCCAAAGCACACATGTCTCGCAGATCCCTCAAAGGCCCAAATTAGTTGTATTCCCTATCGGGAGGAGCCAAAATCCCGAAGATCCTGGATTCTCGCATTGTGTGCATTGTGCAAGGAGCAAATTAATTGCATTTAATCTAGAAACTCGATACTTTCCCGTAGCGGGTGTGTGCGATGTGAAATCCTAAACTTGAGCAGCCGTCCCCGCCTTGATTAAATAATTAATAATATTTTATAAACAAGCGGCGTGCTTATGGCACCACAGAAATCTTTTGTTGGGTGTAGCTGAACTACTGTACAGGGAGAAAATGAATGAAATTTTATGTATAAAATTAAGACTCCACAAATTATAAACATTTACCTACCTAAAATGGTTATTCAAGTTATTCAATAATGGGAATTAAGCCTTATGTACCATCGATAACGAAAGGAATCATATTTCTGCTCGAAGAACAAAATAATCCTGATCTCTTGATTTCGTAAGTCACGTTGTTTCCATTTATTTAATACTTAGGCTGCCTATTAGCTGGAACTATTTGTTTTCTTTCCGTGTAAGCCACTCGCTTAGGGCCCTTTAGAAATGGCCCACACAGGCGCATTTTGACCGTATCTCCGATCTGATCGGGCCATCGAAGTTGCCACTGCACCGCATCCTGAAAACGAAGACCGACCAATGACAAAACACAGGCCCAAACAACAAACACGATAATATGTCCGAGATGTAGATAAGTTCATCATCAGCGCAGTGCGGCTTCATCCTTCTCCAGTGCCAATCCCCATTCCATTTACACAGAGAGAAAATAAGCAATCTAACATGTTTAAATCCAAACTAAAATTTAATATTCACCAATAAATAACAAAAACATATCTTGTTACTTGAGAGTCATAAATCGTAAACAACATTTTCAATATAATTGATATCCGAAAGGTTTATTTTGTTGATACTTTGGTGAGTGTTTTTTCGCAGTGCACCTCGGCCTCCTTCGGTTATCCGCTGACCACTGGGTGTTGACGTCTTGTAGGCGGTAACGATGGTGCTGATGATGCTGATGATGCTGCCTCGAGGGCCGTTTAAAGGCCTCCACAACTTATCGACGGACTCGTATCTTGTGGATGCGAGTCCCTGTGTGTTCCTCCTCCATTTGCCGCAGGATCTGCGATAAATCACTTCGAACTGCTGCGCAGCCATCAAAATCAATAAGGGCCGCTGCTCCGCTGGAGGAAGGTGTATAAATTGAAACGTTGATGGCTTCATCATTGGTCGACTGCGGCATTTGATCACAGCATTCGTTCCGCTCATGTAGGTCTCCTTTTTGTTTCGTTTTTTGTAGTTTAGGCAGGGAGGAACCGCAGACCAGGTGCCTGGTTTATGTCAAACTGTTTGACGACCATTTAATCTCCGCGTTCCGAGCACGAACTTCTAGAGGTAATGGCCCTAATGGTCGTAAATTAATTTTATCACCCATTAATTAATCACTTTTTTATGTCTTTGTTAGTTATTATTCAACGACTAACATTGTTGGGGGTTTTTAATAAATACTTATACCAGTAGGGCGGCTTTTTCTTAGGATTTTCTTTTGGGTTTTAAATATCGAGTATTCTTCAAATATATTATGTTCAATACTATTATTTTAAACATGGGCTCCAGTAGCCAGGAAAAATGCCTCTTTAACAAAGGCATGCAAATTGTGCCTCCATTCCTGTCAGTTAAAAATCGTACAGAGTCACACATTGCCCCCTCGAAAGAATCATCATTTTGAATCGCAAAGTGGCGGGAACGTTTAAAATTTCTGTTAAGATAACAGACCTTCCCGAGTTGCCAACCAATGTTGTTTTTGTTGTTTATTAACCGATGCCTATCGATATTCCATTGAAGCGCCATCTTGTGGCGTTAAAAATTAAAAATCATATAAATATCCTCTCAGATTCTTGACAAAAATAAATTGTTACTGCTTTCGTGTGTGAAATTAAGTTTCGAAAGATATACAAATTTAAAAAACCATTTGGTGGCTGGCAGTTGAGTAATCCATTCAAAATTCAAATATATGTGCCTTCAGTGGAAAATCGTGGATTTGGCAAACTGATCTGGTAACACTGAGCAAGTTCAAATCAGCTGGGAAAAATAACTAAACAAAAAGCCGGAGCGGAAGGATTATTTTATGGAAATACTTTTCCGATCGAGTCGTCTAGTCGATTCCTGTCTAATAGTTCTCGGTTCGTTTGTGTAATTGAACTAAATTTGTTGTGCGCATGTAAAAAAAAATATCAAGGTGAGTCCCACGCAAAGCCAAACACACACGCAGCCAGGGCAGACACGCACACACGGACAGGAAAAGCCGGCTGCAGGAAACAACAACAACAATCACAATTACGATTTGGCACTTTTCGCGCCTTTTCAAATTTTGAATCGCGCACTCTCATTGAAGGCGAAAGTCTTGTTTATTTTCGTCTGCTCCTTTTTTTTTGGCACGCATTTCGTTGTTATTGATCGATTGGCAATCGATGAACGAAGTGTGCCCCGCATTCTGGCGGTTTTCGCCTTTTCGCCGTCTTTTTTGGACTATTTTCTATTTTCCTTGGATGATCTTGGTGCCGTGCCATGAGTCTTTGAAAATAGCCAGCCATTGACACGCCGCCGCGCACACAAACACCGCCCGAGTGGTGAAGTAATAGCGTAAACCTGCACCGCCCGAAGCAACCACCTTGAACCCGTTCGGAAAACCCACTTTCGAAAACCGCCTTCCGTCCCGGGCCCCAAAAAGTGCCCCCAAATCTCGGGGAATTCTCGGAGCATCAAAGTAAAGCCAATAGAAGCATTGCAGTCTAAGAAATTAGGGGAATGGCAGCAATGTGTTAATAGCACTTCAGCTTGCGTATTAAAAATGCAAAATAAGAAATTTAAAAACAGTAATTGCCGAAGATATTTAACTCAATCAAGTAACTAAGGTTTCAATAGAATACCAAAATAAGTGTCAATACTCTTCACAAAAACAAAAACGTAGTAGCTTCGTGAGAGTCAATTGTATTAAGCAGTAAATCCTGACTTCTGAATGTAATGGCCTCCTCCCATTGCAGCTATCTAAATTACCTGTGAACTCAATATGGCTCAGATGACCGAGAAGAGGACAACGTCGGCCCGAACGGGCACGGCGGCCAAGGAGAACCACAGCTTGGCGGGGCGCCACCACCAGCAGGGGCACCACCAGCCGGGCCACCAGCGCAGCGGCAAGGGCATCGAGATCCTCGACTTCCACGAGTCCTGGCTGGAGGAGGTGGAGCTGTACAAGGACAAGATGGTCATGTGCAAGAAGCTGGCCCACCACAACCACGTGCCCAACTCGGTGCACCAGCTGCAGTCGCAGCTGGCCGCCCCGAATCGAAATCAGGGCAGGATCGTCCAGCCCGGCAACCCGCAGTACCGCGGCTCGGCCTTCGGGGGGCCACCTTCCGTCACCACCGCGTCCGCCTCCGCCTTCGCCTCCGTTTCCGCCCGCTCCCCACCGCCCGCTCAAAAGCAAAGATCCCCGCCATCGCCGCGGAAGCGCCTGACGCCCGAGAAGGTCTCCGCTCTCGGTGGCGCAGCGTCCAAGGCCGCCGGGCAACGCATCGTCGTCCGGGGCTCCCCGCCCAACAACTCCCCACCCAAGATCGTCTCGACGGCCAGCAATGTCGCGCCCGTCGTCGCCAACAGCGTGCTCCAGTCGGAGCCCTACAAGAAAGTCCAGGTGAGTGGGGCCGCTCTTGTCGGTGTAGATTTGTGTAGCCAGCGGATGGGAGTGTTTCTGTCATTCTGTGATTCTGTGTGGTTTTTAGTCAGATATGAACCATAGTGATACCAGAAAAGTTCTTATAAACATCCTCTATATATACGACGTGCCAAATTTTAATTTAAAATGAGTTTTTGCAATGAATTCAATTATGTTAATATTTTCATAAAGAGAAATCCATTTACGTGTTATATGTTCTTATTTGTTTTTAATTTTGTATTTTTGTCTACTTAAATAATGCAGCTACCCACATTGTTTCCAATTTGCCGGTCAATATCATTTCGCTTTTACAAATATCCATGTAACATTATTAATGACACTTATTCAGAAAACTCCATCCGATAGAATTCTTTTTCACATATGCTCACTGCGAAATGCCAAACATAAACTGACTTACCCGCATATACATCCCTGATCCACTAACCTGCATGTCTCCATTTCTCGTGCCGAATCTTCGTCATGTTCCATGTCTCGTGCTCCCGCTTCCGCTTCCGCCGCACTCCACTAACCAACCAGATGCTATTGAAGCGCGCGAGGGAGGAGGCCTTCGCCAAGCACTCGGCGAACAGCGCGACCGCCAACGGCACGGGTCCCAAGCGCTCCAGCCTCAGCCCGCCCATCCAGGCCAGGGTCGCCCCCTCGACGCTGTCCTGCACGAGCACCCAGACGCTCAAGCCGTCGCCGGCCAGCAAGATCGTGGTGAACTCGTTCCACGGCAGCAGCATGCTGAGTGCCCAGCAGCAGCAGGAGGAGAAGAGCCGCCTGCTCACCCAGAACGGGCTGACCAAGTCGGCGGCCAGCGCGCTCGAGACGAGCCTGTACGCCTCCCTCTACGCCCACGCGCCGCAGAACAGCCAGCCGCAGTCCTTCAGCCAGCGGATCCCCGCCGGAGACCACAGCGTGCCGTACGTGGGCGTCTCCCTGAACAAGGGAGCCGGGCACGACCACGACAAGAGGCACGAGGACGATCCCTGCGCAGGTGAGGAATTGTTGATGAGAGTTTCACCTTCCGAGAGGAAGCTAATGTTCCAATATTTCTCCAGCCATCGACGACATCAACAACTACGACGACTCAGACTCGGAAGAGGAGTACGTGGGCACGCCGTTCTTCCTGGAGGAGGACAACACGGAGACGCGCCAGAGCAAGCACACCCGCCTGGTGCCGCAGAAGACCCCCTCGAAGGAGTCGGTTGCCACCACGGACACGGAGGCGTCGGTCTACTTCCGTCCGGAGGCCATCCTCTCGCCCAGCCTCTTCCCGCACGTCCCTCCGTACCTGAACTTCACCTCGCACGCGGACAAGGGTCCGCCGATGCCGGCCGCCCTGCACCGAGTCCTCAAGTGGAAACTGAGTCCCGTGATGCCCAAGATAGTCAAGCGGGTCGTACTCAATTCCGGCTTCCGCATCATCAAGAGTGAGTCTACCTCCGAAAAATGGGTTGCCAAAAAGTGACCAAAACCATGCACTTCTAAGTCCATAACTTTTCTGCTTTGTATCCGATTTAGAAGTGTCATACCGCAATTAGTTTGTAGTTCAATTCTCCAACAAACTGCATCATTACTTGGTTTATTTTCCTCTAACAAAATCCATTCCCACGACAGACACCACCGACTGGATGGCCGTGTGGGAGAAGCACATGAAGAGCCCCGGGTTCCGCACCATTCGGTCGCACCAGAAGTACAACCACATACCCGGATCGTTCCGAATCGGACGTAAAGACACCATGTGGCGCAGCATCTACAACAATATGCAGAAATTCGGCAAGAAGGAGTTTGGCTTTATGCAAAAGTGAGCGAGCGAAACCACCATTACCATTCATTATATAACATGGTCTGATTACCCCGCCAGATCCTACATCATGCCTGACGACCTGGAGAGCCTGCGCCAGGTGTGGCCCAAGAACGCCTCGAAGCTGACGAAGTGGATTGTCAAGCCGCCGGCCAGTGCCCGCGGGACGGGCATTCGCATCGTGAACAAGTGGAGTCAGTTCCCCAAGGACCGGCCCCTGGTGGTCCAGAAGTAGGTGTGCAATCCTCCGTGCAAGTGCTCTCTAAAGGCCTTTTCCCATTCCAGATACATCGAACGGCCGCTGCTGATCAACGACAACAAGTTCGACATGCGGCTGTACGTGGTGCTGACCTCGATCAACCCGCTGCGCATCTACATGTACAAGGACGGGCTGGCGCGGTTCGCGTCCGTGAAGTACAGCTCGGAGCTGAGCAACCTGGACGAGCGCTGCATGCACCTGACCAACTACAGCATCAACAAGTTCTCGCAGAACTACGCGAAGAACGAGGACTTCAACGCCTGCCAGGGCCACAAGTGGACCCTGCAGTCGCTCTGGTCCTGCCTGGAGAACCGCGGCGTGAACACCAAGCGCCTGTGGGCCACGCTGCGCAACCTGGTCATCAAGGGCATCGTCAGCGGCGAGTCGGGCCTGAACCGCATGTACCGCCAGAACGTGAACTTCCGCTACAACTGCTTCGAGCTCTTCGGCTTCGACGTGCTGCTGGACGAGAACCTGGTGCCGTGGCTGCTGGAGATCAACATCTCGCCCTCGCTGCACTCGGAGCTGCCGCTGGACCTGCACGTGAAGGGCCCGCTCATCCAGGCCGTGCTGAACACGGCCCTGTACCAGGTGCCGCCGAAGCTGAACGAGCGCCAGCAGACGGAGATCCTCGAGGAGCTCAACCTGGCCGGGCCGCTGTGCCACGACAAGCGCATCTTCACCACCTGCCTCACGGCGGAGGAGGTGCGCAAGCACAACCAGTACACCAACCGTAGCATCGAGTTCCGCGAGGAGTACGTGGACACCATCCTGGACAACCTGCTGCCCGACGACGTGCGCTGCCTGATCGTTGCCGAGGACGAGCTGGCCCGGTGCCAGCCGCTGGAGCGCATCTTCCCCACCAACGGCACGCACATCTACCTGCGCTACGTGGAGAACGCCCGCTACTACAACCGCCTGCTGGACGCCTGGGAGACGAAGTACGCCAAGAACCGGGAGGTGGGCATCGCCCTGCTGTCGCGCTACTGCCGGGACAAGTACCACCTGCAGGTCTCGGACGCCGCCATGGAGAAGGTGATCGATCAGTTTCACACAACCCCCTTTCCGTACCGCTTCTGCAGCCCCTTCTCAAGTCATGTTTCTTACCTAGGAACCCAATGTGGCTCTTACCGAGATCGATATGCTGCACGTGCGCAAGGATGAGGTCCTGGACGGCGCCACCACGCTGGCCCTGCTCAAGCCCGCCGCCGTGGAGAGCGGCGAGGTGGTGGTGCCGCGTCCGGACGCCTGCATCGAGATCAAATCCTGAGTTCGCCAGCCACAGTCGCCGCCGCATATCGAGATCGTCAACAGAAAGTCGCCACTTCCGCCGCATCCATTTCCGTTCCCGCATCCTGTTTAAATTCACGCTGGACTTGTCTCTGCACAATAAAGTTACTTAACTCCGATCGCCTCTTTCCCTCCAAGCAAGCAGGTTGTAACCTGGTTAGCCGAGGGGGGCCGTCGAAGCCAGCGTCGTGCAGCGGAGCGGCCTAGTCCTCAAATCCAAGGTTAATTGGATTGCATCTTGTGTTCTGTCATTATTACTTTACTCTCTCTTGCGGAGTATAGAAGAATTTAATCCGAATAAAACATTATCTGTAAAAATATGATTTCAATTGTTAATGGTAGGTTGGGGCTAGCCGAACTGCGCGAAAAATTGCAAAAATTCTCCAAATTGCGCAAACAAGCTTTTTGCACATAAAAAATTAATGTCCGAACTGAGCGACAAGCCAATTACGATAAAAAAAAACATCAGAATTACGCGAAAACGCTTACTTGGTTAAAATAAGTAGTTAGTTGTTCAACAAAATTTGTATATTATCATATTATATTATATTATTTATTTGTTTTTTATATTATGTTATGGCCGGTAGGTTGGTAATCGTTCATTTTAAGTTTATTTATTTAAATTGTATGTTTAAATAGGCGGGATATCATCTAATCGCTTGGTGCAACGAGGCGATAGTTGTGCAGCAAACGCGCCTGCGTAACTTGGAATTTGTGCCATCGCTAGACAAATTTTTTTACAGCTAGCACTACACAAAAATCATTGAATTAAATTTGACACGAAAACGAATGTCAAAATGAATACATAAAACTAAATTCGAAAAATGTCATGGCTTTGATTCTTTTAACTAAATCCAAGTTTAAACTGGCAGGCTACCGCCAAAACGATAGTGGTCGCGTGAGTGCGTAACTTCAAGTACAGTGTCATCCCTAGTCAAAATTTTAATAATAAACAATTCATTTTGCGGCGGCTGGTCTCATTGATTTTTCTAGGAAGCATTAAAAAAAAAAAAGGATTAATAAGATAAAACCCGGAGCCTGGCCTGCTAATCGGAAAAATGAGTGGTAAGAATCGAATTCTGCGTAAAGTACAATTAGTTTCTGTTTCTGCTTGAGACGAAGCGTTTTGTGGGGACTGTATGGGAATTTGAAGTCTACTTTTGGGCAGTGGGGGCACTTTGGTTTGAGGAGGGGTTGCGGGGGCCAAGGGTCCTGCCAGGAAAGGACGCACCTGCGCCTTAACCTCCTTACCATCCTTTTAAGGTCCTGCCCACCGATGAAGTCATCAATTTTGTAACATTGTGTACATACAGTAGAGCTTCAATGTGGTTTTTGCCAACTCAAAATAATTCACTTTTAAGGGCCCTAGGCAGACTATTGATTTGTAGTAGTTATGCACATATCAGCTATGAGGTACCTTAGTTCCTTTATTTTATGCCTTATGCTTTATTGAATACTTAATGTAGATGGTTTATTGTCCCAAACAGGCGACGAATGTGGCGAGGAGAAGCACATCCTGAATCTCTCCAAACAGAAGCTGAAGAAGGTGCCCAAGCAGGACGATGCCCACAGCATCCGCCAGCTCATCCTGGATGAGAACGAACTGCAGAAGATCGACAACATAGACTCGTACCTCAAGATAGAATCGGTGACTAGCGTAAATCCCACCCAGCAAACATTGCTAACCAAATGCATTTTGACAGCTCTCCTTGGCCAGGAACCAACTGCTGCGGATGTACGGCGTCTGCCGGCTGCACTGCCTCCGCGAACTGAACCTCTCCTTCAACGGCATACTCTCCATCGAAGGTCTCAAGGACTGCGTCCACCTGCGCGTCCTCAACCTGGAGGGGAACAACATCAAGACCATCGAGCACCTGAGCACGAACGTCAACCTGGAGGTGCTGAACCTGGCGGAGAACAGCATTGGCAGCATTTCGGACATGTCCTACTTGCGCAGTCTCAAGGAGCTCTATCTGCACGGAAACCGCTTGACGCACCTGAGGTCGTGCGACAAGTACTTGCCCACCTCTCTGGAAACACTGACGCTGGCCAAGAATGGCATCAACGACCTCAACGAGATCTGCACGCTGTCGCATCTCAGCAGCCTGCTGAGCATTTCGATCGCGGACAATCCCTGTGTGAACATGACCAACAGCTTGGAGTGAGTTTTATCTTGTGGCTTCATTAGGATTTACCAACATTTTATATCTCTCCAGTGGCTTTGACTACCGGCCTTTTGTGCTGAACTGGTGCATGAGCCTGAAGTACATCGATGGCTACGTGGTGGATCCCATCGAGAGCCTCAAGGCCGAGTGGCTTTACAGCCAGGGACGCGGTCGCCAGTTTCGCGTGGGCGAGCAGCAGGGCTTGGCCAAGTACCTGAGCTCCATGTGCCCGCTGGTGGGAAAAGCGCTGGAGAACGAGAACGACAGGAAACTGCGATTGATCCTAAGCAAGGCGCAACACCACCAGCGGCAGTTGCAGGAGGAGATCATGGACAACGCCAACAGCTCCGCCAGCACCTCGCCCTCGTCCCATCGCAAGAAGCCCACGAGTCGCATTCAGTCGCCCAGATGTAAGTTCGTGAGTTGTTTAATCTCCTGTGCGCTCTAAAATTTCTTGTTCACAGTCTCCCGTTTGAGTGGTCGCCAGGGATCGCCGGAGTCGATGGCGAACAGCTACCACGGGAATAGCAGCAACAACAGCATTGCCAGCGACAATGGATCTGCAAACCACTCGCTCCAGATGAGCATCTCGCTGATCGAGAACATCAAGAACGACGGCGAGGGATTCTCGCTGGCCGGCAGTGGCATGTCCAGCAGCGTGACCACCAAGACCTACAACTCCACGGAGTCCACGCCCAGGAACATGACACCCAATCCCTACAATGGTGAGAGTAACTAGAAACTAGAAAAGAACTAGGGTAGAATTTCGTAAACTTTTGCTCGTCTGCTCGTTTACAGATCAGACGTTTATCAGTCAAACTCCATCCGGAGGTCCACTGGCTGCCGCCTCTAAAATGGTCCCTGTTCCGGAGACCCTGATGAGTCCGGATGTCTGCCCCGCCGCGGTGGCCCAGAGGGTCACGGTAACCGCTCTCAACTCGCAGCTGCACAAGACCAAGGTCAACAAGAACAAAGGTGGCCTGAAGTTGACAGTCTTTATTCTAGAACATCATATTACCTAACGATTTTGTACTGTACAGACAACAAACTAAACTTACCGAGGGTGCGGAGTCCCCAGCTAAAGAGGAACCAGAGTCCCACGTGCAGTCCACGGAGAACGGCCAGCAAGTCGGGCGGCGACAAGATGCAGCAGCAGCAGCAGCAGCAGGATAAGCTGCAGACTTCGGTCACCATGGTGGATGCCGGTGGCTTCAGCACCGACGACGATGGCGAGCAGATCAACGTGGAGAAGCTGCGGGCCATCAGGAAGATGGCTGCCCAGAAGCAGCAGCAGATGCACCAGGAGCAGGAGCAGCTGAAGCAGCAGACGGACAACAGCCTGAACTGCGAGGACCGACTGATCGAGCACGTGACCGAGTCCTCGGCCGTGACCATTCAGAAAATATGGAGGGGCTATCACACGCGCAAGAAGACCAACAAAGATATAGCCGAGCGGTTGCAGCGACGTCGCACGCAGGAGTACATTGAGTAGGTTCTAGATATGATAGATATCTTTATAATTTATCATCATAATATAGTTTCTAATGAACTTCCTTTGCAATCCCGCAGGCAACTCGGCAAGGACATGCTTTTGACCAAGGCGCAGCTCGAGAACGAGCGGAAGATCCAACAGCTGCAGATGCAGGCCATCAATGCGCTGTGGAAGAAGGTGTCCACCATGGAGGTGGATCCGAAGGGCGTCCAGCCGGTTGCGGAACAGGGCGAGGACTCCAACGGAGGCGGAGGAGGCTCTGGCCACCTCAGCCTTGACCAGAACTCTGCTGCTGTTGTCAACGACCTGGCCAAGCGATGCACGATGCTCACCGACCAGGTGCAGATGCTGCAGAGCTCGATCGGAACCATCGTCAATTGCCTGACCATGGTGTGCAATCTGCCGCAGGACGCCATTAAGAAGCAGGCCGAGATCATCGACTGCAGCTCCACGCAGACGGACCTGATAGCCGTGCACACGCCCCAGATCGAGGATCTTAACAATTTTCCCTTCACGAAGACCAGACCCTCGACCTTGGCCCTGGAGTCGAAGCACGAAACGCTGGCGTGCCCCAAAATCGATGAACTCAACGACGTCGAGCTCAAGGAGAACGACGACTCGGCTCACCTGGAAAAAGAAGCCTAAAAAATTGCAGTTAATGGAGGAGTGTAAACGCTTTACGGATCGATCTCTGCGCTTATTAATTCCTCTTGTAGGCTTTTGTGTAGCTTTTGCAACAATTTTTAGATCAGTTACAAGAACTTAAACGTAGCAGCAGCATCCACGAACACAATTTTTTGTTACATTTTGAGATGTAGTGATGGCGAGAGACTAAAGAAAACTTATGAAAAAATCGATAAATAACAATTTTTGTAAAACGCAAACGAACATTTTTTTTGGGCAATAATACTCGGGAAGTATTTTTGGTTGTACTCTATTTATTAAAAAAATGTTTTTCTGTTTAAAGTAGCTATAACAAACGATTTTTGTTTAATTTCTGAAGAGCTCCTGACAAGTTTGTAAAAAATCTTAACTAGATATTATTTTGTATTTATTTTCTACATTTAATGAGGAAATTCAGTCTTCGTCGCTGGAGGTTTCCTCGTCTTCTTCTTCTTCTGAGGATCCCCGGTGCACAGGACGATTTGTGTTGGGCGGGAGGTCATCTTCGGGATCGGAATCCTCCAGGTTTCGGTGTGATGACTCCTCCTGCACGGGTTTCCTGGCGAATTTGTCCGGCCAAATCCCGGCCTTGGTGAACTCCTTTATGTGTTCAGGGGTGAGGATCTTGCAGATCTCGGCCTTAACTTTGTCGCCCTCCTCAATAGGTTCGATCAGCAGGAAGTCGCCTCTTTTCACCCACATGCTCTTGCGGAATTTGTTGGGCATTGAAACTGGAGGTGTAAAAGGACAGTGATTATTTGGTTATATGTATGTCTTTCCCGAACTCACCGAGGAAGTTCTCTTCGGTCTTCGCGCTTTCCACCTCGTGGAGATTGTTTCCCCGGCTGCTGACCACTTTTGCGATCTGCTGGTTTTCCGTGGGCAGTGCGTAGTCGTCCTCCATCATTTCCTTCATCAGGTGCTTGCGGCGACTTATACTCGGGTGCGATCGGTGCATTGTAGCGGATTGGAGATGTGAATTTGCCTCTTAAAATCGAAATTCGAGTTTGAGTTTTTGAATTTCTTTGACTTGTTTTGAACAATCAGCTGTTTCTTGTATTTTTTTGGAAAAGTGATACCGAATACGTCGATTTGACAAATACCGAAAGCGCCAAATATATATTGAAGGTATTTTATGTTGGAGTGATGTTAGTTAACATGAACACAAGATTGAGTGCTGTAAGTTAACAGATGGCACATCGGAGTGGAATTACATGAGTAAATCGATTTGCAATTTTAAACATTAATTAGATATCGATAAATTTTACAGTCATGTAATGATGCCACCTGGGCGCCAAGTTCAAATTGAATAGACAGCAGAGAAAGTAAGATCACAATAGCGAGAGGACGTTTTATTTGTAGAGCCACGCCTGCGTAAAAGTGTCCGTACAATTTCGTAACTTAAGGATAGCGGAGAATGATCCGTGTAACGAGAAATTTGCTTTGCATAGCGTAGTAAAAGCAACTAGAGGTAAAAAATATATCGTAGCGGGGCTTAAAGCTAACTAAACTAACTAGTTCTTGCTGCGCCGCAGGAGCATGCGCTCCTTCAGCGAGATCCGCCCGGACTTCTCCACCTTTGTCGAGACGTTCCTGCGCGACTCGATTTGGGCCTGCTTCGACTTCTTCATCCTGGGAAAGAGAATTATTAGTGGGATAAGGACTCAAGGCACCATTGGCACTCGCTTACAACTCGTTGAGGAGGCTGGTGATCTCCTTCTTCCAGATGTCCTTGAAGTCGTTGGTGAAGTTGGTCCAGTACTCGAAGAACTGGTCCGGCGTGCACTGGGCCAGGGTGAGGGTGCAGGCCTTGGGGGAGAAGTGGTAGAAGCGCATCGTCTCCAGGAACAGCTCGCGGCACTCCTCGAGCGACTGGTGGAGCTTGGCCATCGACTTGTCCGCCCCCTCGATGAACTCCTCCATCTTGGACTTAAAGGGCTCCATGATTTCCGGCCGGGATGCGGCCAGGACCTTCGCCGTGGTCCGCTTGCAGCCTGCAAAAGAGGATTAATCAGTCAATCAAACCCTCTAATTCTCTAGCTCCTTAGATCTGCAGCTCCACCCACCCAGAAACTTCCTGTTGAGGTCGTGGATCTGCTGCTGCACCTCCTCGAAGTCCATCTGGGCGGCCCGCTCCACGTCCGCCGGCTCCGGGACGGGCAGGCGGATCTCCAGCGGGTGCACTCCCTCCTTCCGCCGCTGGGCGATGTAGGTGCGGACGATGAAGTGCAGCAGGGTGGTGTGCGACTCCTTGGACTTGACGTCCTTCAGCTTGCCCAGGATGTCCAGGTTGAAGCCGTCGGCCTGGCCGCGCTGCCGGTTGCCCCCGTTCATGTAGTTGCCCAGGGTCAGGATGATGGAGAAGACCAGCTTCAGGTCCTCGCTCTCGATCAGCTGCTGCGAGAGCTGGGCAACCGTCTCCAGCTTGCGGGCCAGCAGGGTGACCGACTCCTCGAACTCCGCCTGGAAGACGATGCACGAGATCCGCTCGCTGGCCATCGAGATGAGCGAGATGTCCAGCAGGAACTGCTCCGGGTGATCCAAGGGGATGTCCCCGCCGGCCGCCTCCCGGATCCGCTGCAGCTCGTCCTCCGTCGCCTGGATGTTGCTCATGTGCTGCAGCGCCTCCAGGCTCACCACCGACGTGTCGATGTGGTAGATCGCGTGCTCGATCTCGCTGGACGGCACGTGCAGGCTCCGCCAGATGATGCCCACGTTGCGCGACCTCTCCGGATCCAACACCTTTATCGACTTGGCCCGCTTCACCTTCAGCTCCTTGGGCTTGCTGACCGGCGCGATTGCCTGGCGCGAGAAGAGCTCCGTGAACTCGTCGATGTTGTCCAGCGGCGTCTCCTCGATCTCCGTCCATATCTCCTTGGTGGGCGGGGCGGGGGGCGTGGCCTCCCCAGCGCCTGCTGCCACCGGAGGCTCGTCCGGTGAGCTGCCGCTGTTCTCCGTGCTGTCCGTGGAGTTGGCCACCGAGGGGGGCGTGGCGCGGGCGGGGCGCTCGTCACGATCCGCGTCCAATACAAAGGACGCATCGGCTTCGGCGGGTTAACGGCGCTCTTGCGCATCGCTGTGGAAATGGGTTAAAGAAGCATTGATTACTTTATCTTAATGGGTTATTAAATGGCAAGGGATACTCACTGTTTGTGCGATGGAACCAATTGCCTTCGGCGGGATCCGGAAGCGGGGCGGGCGAGAGCGGCGTCTTCGAGGGGGAGGCGCTCATGGGCGGCGGCGGAGGGGGTATTCCGGCGGCTCCCTCCACCGGAGCGGGCGGAGGCGGGGGCGGGGCAGCCCCACTGCCGGGCGGCGGCGGCGGAGGGGGCGGGGGAGCTCCGTAGTTGGCGGGCGGTGCGGGCGGAGGTGGCGGAGCAGCGAAGGCTGGCGGCGGCGGCGGAGGCGGTGGCGGAGGGGGCGGGGCGAGGAGCGCAGGGGCGGGAGGCGGAGGGGCAGCTGCGCCTTCCCCACTCTCCTCCTTCAGTCTGCACTTGCAGCTGCCCTCGCACTCCGCGACTTCCGTTTCCGTTTGAGTGCCTGCATCTGCCACTCCCTTCGTGGAACTTCCCTCGATCCCCGAGGATCTGTTGTACTCGTAGACCGTCGCCTCGCTGGCGTTCAGCAGATCCGTGAGGTTGACACACCTCTTCGAGGGACGCCGAGGAGGTTCGTCCACGCTGCTGAGCAGCTCGTTCACCACCGCGTGGACCTCCGCCAAAGTGGCGCAGTTGAGGAGGCGCTTCTTGAGGATCTGCTGCAGGGTTCTCTGGTGGTCAGCGGTCGCGGGAGCCACCCCATTGTTTGCCAGCGATGCTCCGACCACTCCTGCTCCCGCGGAGGTCACGGAGGCCAGGGAGGCCGACTCCAGGGCTCGGATTCCGGAGGGAGTGCTGGAAAAGGGCCAGGCGGCCACCTTGTCCAGTTTCCCGGGGGTCAACGGCAACGAGGTCGTCGGCTGCTCCGTGTGCGTCCATTGGTACATTTCATACGGCTGGGGGTACAAAAGCAGATCATAATGCTCTTCAATTTTCAAGGAATTACTGCGGAATATTTAACTACTGAGCAGATTGAAAACAGAACTTAAGCATTTACCACTCTGAGCAGCTCTAGCTAAAGGGATTTCTGTTATTACTTTCTGAACAGGCAATAATTTCTAATTGCCAGTCGATTGGGACGAAAACAAAGGAAAAGGACAGCTGGAGCCGTAAAGAAAGAGACGGCAAGTGGTCCCCGGTGGGCGACAAGCGAGAAAGCTTCGGAGCACCTAAGTTGACCCAAGTTCGCTTTTCTTCCTCGAGTGCAATGCTCTTGTATTTTCCGTGCAAGCGGAACTCCTTTGATTTTGATGACGCACGCCACCGTTGACTTTTCGGTCCCACTGTGGGAATTGTATCTCCTGTTTGCTGAGACTGAAGGAAAAAGGAGCAAAACGCTCGAATATGCGAAAAGAATTCAATTTTTATATTAAAGATAAAGATACAAGAAGAATATTAAGCACAACAGAACGTTTAACAATATCGCAACGATGCAAATGCAATTAAAATTGCACTTGATTTTACTGTTAACACACAGATACACACCCACACACGCTAATCAGTCAAAGAACTGGGAACTTGGCAGATGCAAATCAAGTGCAACAGCCTGTAAAAATGGCCTGTGCGAGTATATATCCTGCAAGTACTCGTATATATCCATATGGCGTGTGGCGGAGCCAAGTTTATCACACTTTACACCATTTGTGCCCAAGTGTTTGCCAGCGATTTGCATGTTGTTTGCTCATTTCGGACCGAAGGCACCCAAGAAGCCCACAAAAACACTGGAGTAAAACCCACCTTTCTCCAAAACCCAAGCCGAAAAAAGCAAGACCAACAAAGTGGGGAACGAAAACCTAAACCAAAAAGAAACCACACAAAGGTGAGATAGGAAAATGGGAAAGTGTAAAAATGCTGTTTATCGTTTGTGAAAACTCTTTCCAAGATTGGGATATACATCCCCCATAAAACATATATACTCGTAAGCTTGCATGCCAAAAAAATATCATTTCAAGCACTTAATAAGTGATTATAGCACAACTTCAGCCAGTTAACCGGCTTGGTTGTTTCCCAATTCTCACTTAATTAACAAAACATCGAAGTCCATTCGGTCTAGTCCCATCGCCCACTTGATACCTCTCCTCGTGTATATATGATATATAATATATGGCTGAGCAACAATCGAGCACGCGCACATCCACTTGCAGCCAAGGAAAACAATACGCACGAACTCTTAGTTCGATTGCACATTCAAATCCAGTTCTCCAGCTTTTTTCCCCACCAAAGTTTCCTTTTATTTCGAGGGAACCCAACGAATAATTATCTTCTATTCGAGAGGGAAGGGAGAAACTTTCGACCGCGAGTAATAAAAACGCACAAACTTTCAATGAGTCCCAGGAACAGCAACTCAAAGAAACAAAGGGACTTGGACAAAAAATAACACAGGCGCACAGTAATCTCTGAAATGCAGAAACTTCTCTACCCAGCATTTATTTTTTTTATACACAAAATGTAAATAATTTTTTCATTTTTTTTTTACGAGTAATGCAATCCTTTTGATTCTTCTTTCTGGCAAATTGAAGGATAAAGGTTGTTACAGTCGTGAAGGTCCAAAAGACCATTAGAAACTGCAACACACTCATCGCCGGCTTTAACGATGGTGAGTTTTCCCGGGGACCAATTTAGCAATGTTTTTGAAGTAAGCTCATTCAACAAATAGTAATAAGGAGAGCCCAGCCAGTAATAATTATCTTTTCCGAGTTTCGGCGTGATGCCGTTTAATTCCATTTGATTTTTGAAGGTGGCTAAATTTTCGCCCCTTTTGTTGCAGGAGAACTGAGCACTCGACGCATTTCTCGGAACGGTTTGTATGCGAAAGTATTTCGTCCCGATCTTGAACTTCTCTGCGTTATGATCTGAGTCTTCTGTTGGTGATGTGGTGTTAAGGATCTCCAGCACAGTGCCAATCTTGTTGTACAGTGGAGACAGTGCGGAGAGACAGAATGCCCCGCACTGATTCGGGGCATCGGTCAGAATGCAACGCGAATCCTGGGATTCGGAGATGCCATTCAGGCTGAGGGCGACTAAGACGCACAAGAAATATTTCCCCGAGCGAAACATTTTAGCAACCGAATTCGAAAGCTTTAAGCGAACTGATTCTAAACCTAAGCACTGCCTTTATATAGTCCCCAAGGGGCCTTGGATTAGCATATATTCCGGCAGTTATCATATATATACCAGCGCCGATCAAGTGCTGTGCGAATAAAACAGCAGCTCAACCCAAAGTCGAACAACGAACCTTTGACACTGTGTTCCCCCTCCCTCCTTTTCCTTTTTCCCCCAGTGGCTGGCCCACTGCCCAAAAAGTTCGAACGAAATTCGGGGAAATCGGAGACGTCGCCAGACGACAGACATATACATTTATATATATATTCGTATACGTTGCCTGGCAGCCAGCCGAAGAAATTCCTGATATCATAATCTTGAGCTCAAGTATCATCACATAGAAAATCACTTAACGGTGTCGTCTGCCGCCCTCTCCGATTCCCCCGATTGCCCCGCCCCTTTCGGCGATATACGCTCGTGTTCGGGCCTCCCAGGGATTTGGGGTTAAGCTGCTGTGGCTAAAACTTTTGGCCTAAACTAATTTGAGGGCTATATCCAGTGCTTCATTATTTGCGGTGGTCTTTGCTTGTTGTTTCTCGGTTGCCGTTCTTGTTTTTTGTTTTTGTTGTTGTTTTTGTTGTCCTGCTGTCGCCTGTCCAATAACACTTAACTGGGTCTCGGTTTACAGCCCTCGAAATGGAAACGGCCAGCTTCTTCGGCCTTTTCGGCCGGGCAATTAAAGCCTTCCGCCTGCTCCCCAAACCGCTTGTTTATTTAGCTTTCTGGTCAAGAGCAGTGCTAAATGCTAAATGCTAAATGGCTAAGCTGCACCCGCTGATATGGCCAACTATTAGGGAGTCCATTAGGCCCGGCAGTTGAAGATGACCATCGCCAGATGGTTGCCCAAGAGTTGGACAAAGAACGGAGGTTCAGAGGGGTTCAGAGGGATGGCATTAAAGGTCTTCCAGAGGTTTTCCCACTGCACTGGCAAATGTTAATTATATTTTATTTTACACCATTGCCAAGCACCACATTTTTGCAATGCTTTCAAAGAGGGAATAACCCATTCTTTTACCTAGTTTAAACGCATTTTTTGTAGTGTCCAGTTCTGGTTTCATAATTCTGCATGCAGCAAAACAAGAAAGTCAGCGGCGAAAGCGTAAAACTGTTAGTGCGGCAAGGAGAACTTGGCTTTTGATAGTTGACGGCTGCCGACTGTAAAGTTTTAACAACTTCTGACACTTGCAGGCGAAAGGGGCGGCGAGAGGGGGGCGTGGCGGGGTTAGATGGACAACCGCTGCAGCTCGGTTGAACGAGAGTGCATAGTTGTGCCTCCCTCGGTTTGTCCTCTGTTCTATTTCAGTTCATCTTCTTTTTGCAATGGAATTGCTAATTTCCGGGCACAACTTTGCGGTTCGCTTTTGCATAAGTTTTCGCAGCAACTTCGACGAGCAGGCGTCGGACAACGCTGCGTATGAGTAACGTTGAAGGGAGAGGTCATAGGCGAAAGGTCCTTGCGCCCTAAAGGCCTGGGGTTAAAATGCACTGGCAGGACAAGGAAAAAACTGAGCCCACTAAGGCTGTGTAAATTAACGAACAAGCAAACCTAACTTCTATTTTAAACAAATCAAAAAGAATCAATCGGAACTTTGATTACATACACTGTTACACTTTTTTTCCCCGTGCACTGACGACAGTCATTATCAATAGTTTTTCCTGGCACGCTAATGACTTGAAAGTTAGTTTAACTGGCCCCGATCTGACGACCCCTCACCCCCGCCCTTTCATCGGATTTCCCGGTCCAAGACCAACGCGCTGTCATCATTTCCGGAAGAGCCGTGGCAACATCCGCCGGGTTAGCACCCTTTGGATGGAGACCCCTCCTCCCATTACCCCTCCCAAAAGAGATGACCAATTTCCGGGGAGCAAAAGGGCATTGAACTCACGCTAAATCCGCCATCCGAGTGCTCATTGGAGATCTGCTTGAGGACGCCGACGTATCTGAGATTGTTGCAGAACTGCAGCGCCAGGGAGTTGAACAGCTCCTGGCTGAGGTCGTTGGAGGCGCTCCTCGGGTTGCTCTGCATCGTCGAGATTAGCCATTTCACCAGCATCTGACCTGGAAAACAGAAGGGAGAACTCCGGTAACTGAATGAAATAACTTTGATCGCAGCTGGTCGCTTATTCACTCGCTCTGGCTTCTTTTCCCAAGCCCAAAAAAAAGGAATAAGGAAAACTGGCAGCCACTAAATGATGAGATTTATGGGCGGGAGACGCTTGGGGCGAAGGAACTCCCGAGCGGAGGACCCTAAAAAATGTGGAATAAATAATTTTCTGGGGAAAAGTCAGACCACAAGTTGGACGTGAAATAATCCCAATCAATTGGGCCACAAAACAGATACTCTACGGCTAAAGTTGAGGAAAGTGATCTTACCTCGTGAATAATTTAATACAATAAACAAATAACATATGTTTAATGAAAAAGTTCCTATGAATGAATCGGTATATATGATTTGCTTTTGGAAGGTAAGTTCGTTTAATTACGAGTCTCTCTGACTTTATGGTATAAAGTCCCATGACTAATGCATCGATAAGATAAACAAAGTGATAGTTATTAAAAGGACTCAATGTCTTATTTAAGTGCCAATCTGTTGGGTGTGAAGTTGAGAATGACCAAAAATAGTTTATCACCTCATCTCAAACGGACTAGTTTAGTTGAATAATATAATATTGTTTTGCCCGTAACAGAGGGACTCTCCCAGGCAACTAAAAACCCAAACAAACTTTTTGTGGACTCCAAAAAAGGCGAAATCAAAGGCAAACTTACGCTGGCTGTCAGCGTGTGAGTGGGAAACGATTCGCAGGAGTAGAAGGAGCAGATGTTCTGGGTCAGAGGTCTCGAGCAGGTCAACGCGTATCCGATGGATGCGTAGGCTAATTCTAGCGACATCAGGTGGCTCCTCGGGTGGCGCCCCCTCTGATTTTCCCCTGGAAAATCGAGTTTTCTGAGCACTCCGGGCCGTCAATGACATTAGCTGGAGACTTTGTGGCGGGGTACTCCGAACATCCTCCAGGGAATTCCATCGCAAAGCCAACGGTTGCGGTTCCCCGTCCGATTCGAGTCCGAATGTTTGGAATGTCTGCTTGGCCAGCAGGGAGCACCAGACGTTGCTCAGCACATTGGCCATGTATATAAGAAGTTTAGCGGGCGGCTTCTAGATCGACAGACCCAGCTGAACTTTCTCCGATCAATAGCAAACTTCAACTGCCTACGCCAAACCACTGGTGTGTTTTTCGATTAGCGCAAAAAACTGAAATGTGTCGAAACTTATCAACAGTATCAACAATATCAACGCCTGAAACATGACAACAGTCGCACTCTCGACGACGACTGGTTAGCACACTCAGAGAAAAGCTACGAGCTATTATTGAAATTAAATATTAATGCTGATGATCATCCCTTTCTAAAGACTTCTTATTTCGAAGGCTAAATAAACAGGAACATTAGGTACTTCTACTACACTTCATCACTGATTCACTCATTAAAAAATGAATTCGGTGTTAGATATATTAAATCCTTTTTTTTTACTGTGTACTGATAAGGCTGCAGTTGTCGAGCGAGCAAACTAGACAAACAGAGTAAAATTTCCTTGGCCCTGAGAAGGTCGCCTGCTTTATCAGTCACGGGTATTTCTCTCGTCCATTGAATCATTTCTCTAAATTTACTCATTCAATTCAACAATCTAAAAACGCGGAAAATCGGGGTCAGTTTTCAACGTAAATTAAAGTGATTCAAGCCATTACTCCTCTTTCCGAATTATTAGAAGTTTGTTTTGGTTTCGCATTGGCTTTATCTTTCGATAACCCTTACTGCAAACGAAGTGTTATTCTGTTTTAGAACTTTAGATAGCTGAGTGATACTGTCTGTAAAATTGATTTGAGTGATTGATTAAATCGGTTTGATAGGGCGCCTTTAGAGATTGATTGACGCAAATCAATAGAATTAACAGCACTGCGAATTCGTTTTGCAAACTTTGATTTCAAATAAAGGAATTAATTGATAAGTATAAAATTGAAATAAAAACGATAGTAGATGACTATGTTTTTATATTCCTTCCCTCTGAAAACTGTATTGAATCGGACTTTTTCGAAATGCTCCAAGGATCTATAGCCCTTGCCTGTGTTATCCGTTTTCCGTTTCCGGTTTGCCCATTCATCTCAATTAGGCTCACAAGATCATTAGCACCCACCGCACGCAAAGGAGGGCTACTTCGATACGATGGATAGACGAAGGCCAAGTTTTTCGCGGGCGGAGCGGAAGGAAGACCCGCTTAGCTGGCCATCGCTGGCCTCATCAGCAGGCGGTAGCTTTGTAGCGTCCGTTTTTGCTGTTTTCTGTTTTCTGTGCCTGCCCCAAATGTCGTTGTTTTGCATTGTTGTTGCGCTTGGCCTTTATTGCTGGCGCCATCGCGGCGCTGTGGCAAACGGGTTTTGATGAAAACTGCGCCACCGACGACGCACAGCAAATTTGCATAACTGCTTGCCAGCAAATGCAACCGCCATGCACAGAAAAAAATACTTTTAAATATGCAAGCCCTGAATTTGTGCAAACTAATAGGTTTTTGTTAAAATTTTAGATGGTAAAGCTGCTGCTTAAATCGAGGATATATAGTATAAGCAATTAAGAAAAGGAAACAGTATCTGTGACCAATTTTTTTCAGTGCTATTTAGTGGGTGGTTGAGGGCGGCTTAGAAGTGGGTGGTGCGGCGGGTGGCAGCGGTTTTCGGCGCCTCACGCATGCATGCGTTGCATTCATCAGCGGCTGAGTGCCGCTCGTCTCTCCATTCCGACAAACAAAACGGACGATGATGAAACGGACGCCAGGAAACCGCGAGGCAGATCGCAGAATGGAGCAAAGAACCGGAGGACCATCCAGTGCATCCAAATGCACTGAACGGGCAAAGTAACCAGACATATTTTTGTTTACTTAACTCATTAATCACTTTTTAAAAGCGAATAAGTTAATATACATTTTCGTTAGGCTTTCGTGGTTTCTGGTTTTCTGAAGGCGTTTAAAACATTGTTCAAACACCCAAACAAGATGCTTTGCCAGTTTTCGAAATCTCCTCATTTTGCTGCAATTTCGACTGCAATAAACCGAGGATTACTGGGTATTAAAAGCAGGGGAAGTGCGCTTTATATCAGCTACTTTCCTTCCCCGAGATATTTTTTCATTAAGCTCTGGCCGAAAACATTGTCGTCTACACTTGGCGGCAGGCAGATCTCCTTGAAGTTGGCTTCCCCGTCTAAATGGCTGCCTCATCCCCATCCACATCCCGTCCAGAATCACTTCATCCGAGCGAAGCTGGCGAACGTGATGTTGTCGGGCATATAAATCAGATTTCTGGTCCGAAAGCGCTGCCGGACGTTGCCTGATGAAAAGTCGCGACAAACAGCTTCTGCCGCTGTCCCCGCCCAGCCCGGGTTTTCCCAGTTGCCTCCCATCTTGCTGGAAAGCCACGAAGAATTGATGGCCACTTCAGAGACAATGACGCCGACGACCAAAACGCGAGGAGCGAGAGCTACACGGCGAAAAATTGCATCTACTATTGTGAGTTGGCTTAAAAGTCAGGGAGTTCGTGCTTTTATAATACTTTTATAATACATTTAATAGAAAATAATGTTTGATTGATGAATGAATGATCCTTGAACCATACATTTAATTTATATTGCAAACTATTAAACTCATTCTGTACCATTCCTTCGATATCGAACTTGAGTGCTGCGCTTTTCTCAGTGCAGCAAATTGCGTGTCCAGCTAAGCCCCCTCCCAATCCCCGTCCTCCTTCCCCCAAAGCCCAAAAACCCGTCCCCCCACGTGGCAGCTTCTCCTCCTTCTCGCTTGTTTGCCCAGCGAGGCGTTAAAATGTTTGTTTGCATTAATTTGCAGCAGACGACAACGGGCGATGATGATGATGCCGGAGGATCAGGATCCTGGGTGCTGAAAAGCGGGAAGGCTGACAACGATGAGCTTACCAATTAGCGCTTTTTGCCGCTCCCCCAGAAGCCCGCCGCCCCCCAATGGGCGTGGCATGTGTCAAAAACTGCGCCTCCAAAATGCGCACGATGCGTTTGGGAGAAAGTTTTTCGCCTTTCCACTCCTCCACTTTTGGGTGAGTGAAGGATTTTCGGAAAAGCCTACGCTCGAATACCCGAAATTCCCAAACGGAATATGCGGAATACTAGCAATATCACGAGCTCTTAGAAAATTATAGTTATGAAATGCAGAAAAATAATTTGCATCGATAATAAGCAAACTAAGATTTCCATATATTTGTAGAGGCCGAGTTTCAAGCTTGATTTACACTGCTCAGAAAATATGGAATTCCGAAGGAACTAAAACATTCCAAGCCTCTGGGTGGCAATCCCAATCCTCTGCAAAAGAATTTCTCTCATTTTTGGGGTTTCGGAGCAGGTGAAACTAGAACAGGATGCCGGAATATATGCGTGTGCACTTCAAACACTGGCGAAAATGTTAACCTGGCAAGTTTTGCCCTCTCCTCTATTTACATACAAAATTCCCCAATTATGCAATCATTCAACTTGATTTGGCTTGCTCTTCTTGACTGATTTTCCGAGGGAAACCTGCGAGCGGGCGAGGAAAGCTCTACTGGGGCTGAAGCTGGCAAATTAATTGTTAACTTTAAGCAAACAACAAACGCAATCAAACGTGGAGCGCCCAGCAGAAAAAATGAAAGGGAAGAAAACGGAACGGAAAGGGAAATAAAATTAAATGTTTCCCGAGAAACGACACAAAAGGCAAACAGTAAGTGCGCAGGAATCGCAGAGGTTACCTTCATATTTTCCCCGCCCAAATCCCCTTTCCCGGCACTTTTCTTTTCCGATATTTCTGCCTTTGGCATCGCTTCACTGGAGTCGCAGATTGAAGCATAAAGCGCAGCTCAAAAAGCGAGAACATTGGGTTAATACCCTAAAAGATTTCCTTCGTTGCAAATGAAAGAAATGCCAACTGTGGCAGTGGCATGGCAAAATCCAAACCAAAGACGGGGTCAACTTTTCTGTCATTTCGAAAGAATCAAAGAAAATGTTTCACTCAAAATGTGGAAATTTTTGCGATCCTGCTTCCTACTTATTGATAATTGATTTCTTGATTTCTGGGTTCTAATCTTTTTAGTTTTTATTGGAAAACTATAAATATTTCCCCGAAGCAGCTGATTTCCCCCGCTCCACTTGAGAGTATTTAAGCACGAGTACTTGGGCAAACTCACCTTCGAACTTTTCGTATGCAGCGAAGCTTAACTTTTCCGGTACATAAGATGAGCCGCGTCGCGAGCCGGCGCCCCCAGCCACGCCCCCTGAAAGTTCGGGCGGCAGGGTGGCCAGCGGGAGGGCGGAGGAGCTCGGAGTGGCCAAGAGGGTTGTCTCGTCGCCGGGGCCCAAAGTCGGCGGATTGGAGCTATTATTGCCCGCCGACGATTTCTCGACCGTGAAGCTGGCGACCTTCTTCAGCACGTTGCTCGACAGAAGGGGCGTGGTGGGCGTGCCGAAGCCGGGGGGCGGCGGGGGGAGTGGCAGCGGCGCCGTGTCATCCTCCACATTTTCAACCGAATTCGTTTGAGACTGCACAGGTGTTTGAGATGATTTAAACGAAATTATAACAGTTGATTGCGTTTCCAGCGACGGCGTTCCTGAAGCTCCTGCTCCCGAAGGTCCTGCAGGTCCTGCGAACGGAGGAATGAATGAATGACGAGGCAATGGCATTAGCTGGATAAATTTGTATAGAAATTCCCGCTCCCAGGTTCTCTGTGAGCTCTTTCGCTGCTTAAATAAGTGAAAAATTGGAGATAAATGTATTCCTGCTGAAGCATAAGTCACTTCCCATAATTACTGGTTAAATTCTCGAATTTTCAGCAAACATTTGACAATCATTTATCATTTCTGCTGCTGGTGAGGGAATATTTTGGATTGCAATGGTTTCAATAAAATGTATGACATTTTAAAAGCAAGAATCTATTTTTTGCTCCTCTTGAAACTTAAAGATCCTGCCAATATTTAAATGATTTACACTCGTTTAATCGCAATTCGAGTTCGACAGGCCCATAAAAAGTGAGCCTGCCCCTGGAAAAAGTAAACATATAATTTTCCTAGTGCGTTAAATTTTCGCCTGGCTTCTGATTCCTGCCAGCAAATGTTTATGGTCCCTCCCCTCCGATTGAGTAGACCCTGTGGAGCTCTTATCACGGCCCATCATCATTGGCTCAGTACCCAAGTGGTTTGGGCCGCATCCCCTGCATCCCCCTTCCCCTTTCCCTGCTCTTCGATTTGGCGGATAAGTCCCGCGTGCATCATTCTATATAACATGATTTAATTAAAATTTAAACTTTCGCTCTTTTTGTATTTCTGGTTGCTCCCCTGCGGAGCCACAATGGGGAATCAACGGAGTGGGGAGTGGGGAAAAGGAAGCCGGAGCCGAGCCTGGAGCACCAGTTTCCGGCCAACATTTTGTAAACAATGAAGACGTGTTTGCAATTTTTAAGTTTTACAAATGTTTTTTGTATTGGGTAGTATTTTTTTGGGGTTTACGCGATATACTCCCAGCCAGAGGGCCGGAAAAAAGCAGCGAACCATGCTCGCTTTTGTTTATTTTTTGTTTATCGAGCTGAGCGAGTTGGGCCAACGCAATTAGGTGAACTTCGGGGGCGGTGGGTGTGCCGGGAAAACCGGGAGTTCTGGGGGCAATTATATACTTAAAATATCACGTGGGGCGGGGGAGAACGAGTCCTTGCATAAATGTGCCAATAATTACTTTCGGGTCCCTGCTTGTTTTTGTTCGCTTTTTTTTCTCGCGTTTTCTGTGTTTAAAAGCGCCGCTGATCGGATCAGTTTTTAAAACAAAGAGTGCGGTTGCGAAGGGGCGGAATGGGTCTGCTGTTGCTACATGAGTTAATTAAAAAACTTTGCTTTAAGGTCCACGGGCAGAACCCTTTCTTTCCCACAGTAGATTTTTTGGTTTTCTCTAAGATAATTAGAGAAAGTATACCATATACACATAGTATCTAGAAAATGACTCAGTAGGGTAATTGTATTTTAAACGTGTTAATTTTTGTTTGGAGTTGGGTTCGACCACCTGTGAGAAGGAAGGCCCTTCAATTTCGCGCGGAGGAACCAACACTCAACCCTACAGTTTGACAAGCACTTCTTTTTGACCCGTGTTTACATTTGAAATTGGCGCAGGCCGAAATCAGCAACAGTCCTCACCCAAAAAAGGGACAAGCTTTCAGACGTGTCTCTTTTTTTTGGACTGGAGGACCACTCTATGAAGCACACATATGGCTACAAGTGGAACACGCAAACACGGCCAAAACTGATAGATTGGCATCTTTGTTGGGCTAAGAGGAGCATGCTTCTCCTTAAATTTCTCGAGATTTAAAGTGTTGAGAACAGTACGGAATTTGTTAGTTAACATTCTAAAGATCAAAAAAGCAATTGTTTAATCTTAATTTATGTATGGCAAATAATTTGCCAATGAATAACGCCTTTGCTAGATCGATGGAACATATTCTCACCTGATTCATTCGGGGTTGAAGACGGAGGTGTTTGGGAGACGGCGGCGGCGAAACGCGATGAGAGGTTCTGCAGCTCCACCTTCTTCGCCTTGGAGACGTTGAAGAGCTCCCCGTTTCCCAAAGGGGAATCAACGCGGGGAGCGGATCCTGTCCTGTCCGGTCCCTCCATATTTCCGGGGGTCAGAGGCGTGGAGCCGGTTCCACTGCCCAGGACTTGGGCCAACTTCTTGCCGAGCTGCAAGGCCATGAGCTCCTCGTCCGGAGAGCTCTCCGGCGGGCTGTTGGGTGCTACCAGGAGATCGCTGTCGAGCAGTGTAGCCGGGTCCGCCTGCCCCACCTCCGGAGCACCATTGGCTATGCTGAGGAAGCTGACTGGGGTGAGGCTCAGGCAGGCCAACTTGTCCGCCCGGCAGCGCTTCTGCAGCTCAAGGACCGCCTTCGCGGTGCTCGGCGACAACGTGTCCGCCGAGGTCACGCTTATTTCGCTCAGTGGTCGATCCCGCTTGGGCTGCTGGTGCTGGTGCACTCCGGTCTTGGCTGCGCCTAAGCAGTGCTTGGACTTGAGCAGTTCGTCCACGGGATCTGTGAATAGGGAATCATTGCTTGAGCAGCTGCTGCACAACGACCTGCGATCGCACACGAAATGGCGATGGTCTTGATGGACTGGGTGATTCTGATTCTGAACCAGATTCTGATTCTGATTATGATTGTGATGGTGATTCTGATGGCTCTGCCTCCGTCGCTGCTGCAGCTCCTGGTTCTCGTGCTGAGTGAGGGTGTCGTTGGAGGCGTAGCAATCGTAGCAGTCGTCGCTGCTGCAATTGTGGTACTCCAGCGAGTCGGTGTAGTCCAAACTGACCACGTCGTCTGGGGTTTCGGTTGGCAGTTCAGTAGTTATGCAGTTTAGAGTATTTAAATAGAGTAGAGTAGACAGACAATCGAGATAGAAATAGAGATGGATAAATAGAAAGGCTGTGGGTATTGAGTATTGAGACCCCAGCAGAATAATGGCTACAGAACTAAAGTTTGAATACTTTAAATAAATTGTAATAATTGTTCGTTATAATATTAGAATTATAATTTCAAATTCAATTCTTCTAGAGTAGTTTTGAGCAAAAAACAAGTGCGATGAGCTCTTCGCTTAGATATTCTGAATTAAAAAACAGCCTGCCAACTGCGGCTCCAAATGATTTATGTGCCATTAATCGACGACTGCGATGGCTCATTCACAAAAACGCGACATGTGTAAGAAACAATAATTAAACAAAAGTAAATAAACACAAGGCGGCACTGGAAGCCGAAAGAGCGCCATAAGATGGGGAAAGAGAGAAACAACTCAGAGAGACTGAAAACTGGAAAGCAGCAAAATTATGAAAATCTATATGGAAAATGTAGACGGAAAGAAAAGCACAAAAAAGGTGTGTGTACAAATGAAAATGAAATGGTAAAGGTTCGAGAAAATCCCCCAAAAGGTAAACAGAGAAAACTGTACACAAGAGAACCAAAAAAAAAAACTGGTTTTGGTTTTGGTTATGGGAAAAGGGAAAAGGGATGGGGGCTTTAAAAGTGAGCGTTGGCGTCGGTAGCCTTCTCTCTTTCAAAAATAAATTGTTTAATTTGTTGTCCATGGGCAATTAAGGCAAATTGAAGGCAAAACAAAAGAAGAACTGGAATGGCCTCATCACTCCGCCAACAAAGGAGAAGGTACTCCCCCACCAGATGAAAAGTGGATAAAATAGCTCGAGATAAACACCTGTAGAATGTTAATTTCGTCACTTGTTGGGCACTTTTCCTCGGCAACAGTCACTTTTCTCATTTTTCAGCACCCGCATTTGTTTTTGCCCTTTTCAACTTTATTTGTGTGTTTGGCTTTGCACTTTTCAAGGGGTTTTTTACTTTCAACATGGAACGATCTGCGCGGAAGCGAGTTCAAAGCGTTACTAACAACCAACTGGTTTGCCGAAGGGGGCTGGAATTAAAACCCACTGGAAAGTCAAAAGCCGCACAACAAAGCGAGAGAGAAACTGGAGGAACTGAGAGAGCGAACGTGCGGTGAGAGAACCCCAATCGGAGAATCGTTGGGGATATATGTGTATGCATATGTACATTATTTGTTGACGGTCTTAAGCTCGAGTTACACGAAACGAAAGCAGAGCAGAAGCGTGGAAAAGATCGTTCGAGATATGATCGACGCTGCAAATATCTATCAAAATAATAATCTACACAAAGAAATTATATATTTTTGTCTTTGAAAATATAAATCTAAAGCAATTATAATGGTTTTGGTTTCCATGGTAGTGCAAGATCGTTTGAAAGGCCGATTTCCATTTAGACGAACACTTCCACAAACTCAGCACAACCGAAATTGAAGAATCCAAAATACTTTTAGGCAAGGCAGCGGATCGGAGGCAAAAATGGGATGTTATTTTTGACCCACTCTGAGCTTACCCGCAACCACTGTATTTACCGGCGACGCTTCAGTTGTTTCTGCAAAAAGCCGCTCAATGAAGACACAGTGGTCATCGTTAAGGAGTTTTGCTCCCCGAGGTTTTCTGGGTTTCGGTGAAGGTTTTGTTGGGGGTTGTGGAGCCGCTCTTTTGCGAGGTTGCTTGGTCATTGGGGCAGCTTCATGGGATTGCTGCTCCCCGCTCGATAGAATTCCAATAGACTCCTCTTCGGGTCGAATGTTTTTGTGTTGAATCGAAAATTGGCAAAGCTGTGCCAGACTGCAGCGATCTTCATTTTGTAATTGCAGTGCTTTTTTCAATCTCGGCGGCTTTGCAGGTGCTTGGCATAAAACAAATTTATTTTGCATAATTTTCGGCTGTAGCGGCTTATAAATCTAGTATTTTTAACACAAATGTAGTTGCCTTTCATGATTTACTTGTTGAAATGAAATTTAGATTTCACAAGAACTCGCTGAAGGCTCCCAAAAATATGCAAAACAATTCATGGGTCTGGGTGTTTAGTACTTCAATCGGTCAATTAAAGCGATATTATAAACAAATTGTAAACAACAGTTGTTAAAACTACACACACAGACAGGCAAACGGGATGGCAGATGAGTGGGTTTACAACTTTACATGGAAATGTACAAGCCAAACTATTAAAACTAATTGCCATAAATATTAGCGGCCAGCCACGTGCCATGCCAAAAAACTTTTCCGCCATAATGTGCCACTACTCCATACATGTGTTGGTGTTGTTGTGTCGGTGTGAGTGGGAGAGAGTGGGTGTGAGCTGGTGTGCGTGGGAGTACGTGGGTGTGGGCGCTTAATTGAGCACGTTGCTAAAACTCCGCCAAAGGCTTCAGTTCGCAAAAAAAAAATGCTAAGTCAAAACTCAATGAAGGGGTAGCATCCACCCATGTTTCCGCATTTCCCTGGCTTTTCCGTGGTACACCATCTGCTCTGGGGTATTTGATTTCGTTTGCAGTGTTTGCTGATGTGTTTTCTTTTCAGCGGTGGAGGAAATGGGGAGCCATGATTTTTGGCTATTCATCACATAATGCTCGCCAGAAGTATGTATTTCGCAAACAAATTGTTTCTGTGGAAATAACCATTTACTTGCACATGACAAAAGTGGTTAAAAGGACCTCTCGTGGCTTATTCAAACGCACTTTTCGTAGGGAAAACACTTCAATTGGAGCGGAGAGTTAGAGCTGCCCTTAAGGTTCTCCCATTCAGTTTACACGGTACACATCGCAGTCGATCAGGACTGGGCGGTAGTACATTTCCTTGAGCCTGATGCGATTTGGAGGAAGCCTCCCGCCCCACTTTGCCCCTTCCCCCGGGCACTCTTTCTTGGCCCATGAATTATGAATTTATGCATTGAAAAAGGCCCTAAAACAGCTGGGTGCGTGCGAGTGAAACGGAGAACCGCGTTTGGTTCTTCGAGAGCTATTGCTACATCATCTCCCTCGGCTGAAAGGGAATTTTTGATATGGAGAGCTCCCCGGACCCGAGTCCCCCGTCGTTTTTCAGCAGCGCGGCACGTTTAGGATTTTTCGTTGATTTGATTTTAGGCTTTGCCCGCTGCAATACCAAAAAGCTTCTTGCACTCGAGGCCGCGGGGAGGTGGTTTTCGGTGGGGCACCTCGTCCACGGAGCACCGCTCCTCGCCTCTGAATTGCTTTTTGATATGCGCCTCAGCCTTGAACGCTTTTTTCGCATCTTTTCAACAGCGCGCGAAAAAGCTGAATCCCAAAACAGAGAACTTGCCAAACAGAAATATCGAGGATGGCGTTGGCCATGTTTTTATCCCTTGAAGTTAGGTGCATTTTATAAACACAGATTAATTGAAGTGAAAAGAATATCCCGTAGGCTTTAAATTTTACTAATCTCCTAATGCCTAATGGACCAACTAATAAACTAACCCTTAATCATAAAAAAAGGATACAAACTTCGACGCTTGGAAAACCCCTCTTACTACAATTACATTAAAAACACTTAGGTTTCATTTACAACTAAATTTTATTCGATATACTGTGTGTAGCAAATTGAAATATGACATCAATATCATTGACATCCAGAAATTGTTATCCTGCCAAACTATTTCATTCGCTTACGAGAGCATTTGGAGTACAGTTTCGCGGGTCGTAACTCCTTCCCCCATCAAAATATTTTCTTATTTTTTGGGGCAGGAGACGCCTGCAGCTTTTGAACTCGACGCGTTTTTCTTATGGCTGTTAATAGACCGTCGTGAGTTTTTGAAGTGGGTCTGTTCCTTCGCCTTGTTTTTGGGTTCTGTTTTGTGTTTTCTCCAGTTTTGTTTTTTGTTTGTTTTTTTTTTTTCACTTTTCAGCTCCCCAGTTGCTGAGTTATGATGGCAAACGTGCTTCTGAGCTTCTGTTTCTGTTTGGTTTTTTGTGTGTGTGTGCTGCTTGGCTTAATATTTTTAAAGGGGCATCTTAAAGATTTCACATGAATAACTAAAATCTATAAATTTTTGATTTCACTTTGCCAAAAAAGGAAAAAAGTCAGAGTACGAGGAGCGCACTAAGTAAAAAATATTATTTGGCCAAGGCAAAATGCCAATAAGTTACAAGCAGCCGAAAAACTTGAGAGTTTTTGGCTTCGATGAGGGGTGATGTATCAGAGGGGGGACAGACGAAGGTGCCACAACAACAACAAATATAACAGTAGAGGAGCCGGGAAATTCGGGAAAGTCAAGCGTTGTGAAAAAGTGAAAAACAAAAAGCGTAAGAAGAGTGTAGAAAATTTCATAAAAAACTTCAACGAAAAGTTTATTTTTTGTTCGGTTTTCTTGTTGTTTTTGTAAAAGTTTCCGAAAAATTCTTATTTAAACTCCGCTTAAATTGCAATAAAGTCGAGTTGAAGAGAGTTTGATAGACAGTCTGTTTCATTATTTTAAAACTTAGATGTGTGTGGTGAATTCATTTATTTAATGTCTAATGTTATAATAAATAATCAATTCGATCCATTTTAAGCAAAAAATCTTGAAAATAACAAAGCCCAATGCGCGGAAATGTGTGTCAATATGCATAATAGCAACCATTAAATTTTTACCAATTAAAACTGACTGTTCAATTTGTCTATGAAATCTACATATTTGATAATAAGGAAAATTCAGGCAAATAGCGATTGCCAGCAATTATCTAGTTAAATGTCAATTATTTGCTTCATACAACTTTGACAAATTTAATTGCTGTCGGATTGGGCTTCCCGTTGAACAAAAAATATGTTAACGTGGCTGTTTGCCGGTTGTCAGTTGAAGTTAGTTGGCTTTAGAGTTTACAGCTTCGAGACGTACTGTCTATAGAGTTTTATATTAAACAAAAGTCCCCAAACAAAGAGTTTAAAATAAAAATAGAGCAAATCCGAGGCAACAGCAGAGGTAAAAAACAAAGTTGGCGTATTAAAAAGTGCAAGGAGAAGTCCGAGGACTTTTTTGGGAAAAAGTATAAGCTGACAAACTGAATTTGAAGCACAACAACAATTGTACAACCAGAATTACAACAACAAAGAAATGTTAGTCCTCAACAACGAATTCACAATATAAATAGCAATAACAAAAAATTACTGCACAGAGAAAAATTGTACAGAACATATTTCTGACATTAAGAAAAACTTTTTGTTTCTGACAAATCTTTTCGATATTTTTCTGTATGCACTGCTATTGGAAACTTGGGAATTGACTTACGAAAATCTATTTGCTCGGCGCTGGCATCCAATTGTCCGTGCTCCACTTCCGCTTCCGCTGCGGTCAAATCGCCGCTTCCGTCGCCGTTGCCGCTGCCGTTGCCGGCCAAGTTGACCTCTGAACTCGATTCGGTTTTCGGCGAGTGCAGGAATGCCTCGCGAATGCGCTTCTGACCCATCAGGCGGCTGAGGACGCGGACTCTGCTGTTCCGCCTTTCGACCAGGGCCGCGCCCACTCCACCCACTCCGCCCCCGCCGACCCCCATCCGCACTAGACTGGCGCCACCTGGCGGTGACTTCTCATCGGTGCTCGCCGCTCGATTCTGCGAATTTCCCATGATGTTGCTGCCGTTCCTGTGGTTCTGCTGCAAAAGAAGTTTACAAAAATCAATTAAAAAACTTTTCAATCAGTCGCATTGTTTGCTTGGGGCTTTCAGTAGTTTTTATTCATACATTTCTACCGGGTGTGGTCTATGAATTTCTGTAGGAGTGACGAACGAACGGCAATACGTTTTGTTTAAGAAATCATTAAAGTAAATTCACTAATTTCTTAAATATTTTAAAGGTAAAGAAAAGTTTTTTTCGACGAAGTACATTAAAGCATTTATTGATAGTGCACAAATGTTGGCTTTATTAGGAATGCGTTGGAAACATCTTAAATGCACAGGTAGCTGGCGATGTCAGCGATGGCTGACAAAAAGTTGCTTCTTTGGTTGTTTGATTTCTAAAGAGAAGCTAGCTTGCTGGCAATGGTCGAAAGTTGCCGAGGGGTTATTTTGCGGACGATTCGATTCTGTTGGTCTGTGTCAATAGTCGAAAGCCCCGAGGCCATTGGAATTGCAACAGAATCTGCATGAAAATTCATTCCTGTATTGCCGCTTATTTACCCCATTTTTTCCCCTTCCCCTCAACAGCAAATCGAACTTTTACTTTTCAGCAAGTTTCGTCGGAAAATTGTTCACCGATAATGATCATTAAAAAGGGATTGGGGTTGCTCGATAAAAAGTCGGGGATAACCTTTGTTAGACATCTGTCAGGTTGCCGATCCATGGAATTTTGCTGGCTGAACTAAATCCATTTGCATTTGTAAAAAAGTTTTCCATTTTTAAGGTTTGCCGTATTGTTTTTAAAAGCTTGAAATCACACAAATGAAATCGAAAAAAAATTATGACTAATATGTGCATATAAAAATTAAAGGAGGGATTTTTATAACATAAAACCAAAATGTGTGACAAATCTATAATAAATTGTTTTTATCTATTTTTTAAAGCGTCCCGCCTTATTTCTTATCGCAACCACCGCAGTTATTTCCAAACACAAATACTTTTTTGACGTTTTTCTGATTGCCAAACATGATAAAATCGGCTTGGCAAGTTCAATGACTTGGCCAATTTTTAAGATTTAATAATAAATACAAAGAACGAAAATAGAAGAAGTTTCAAGAGCGGAAGCATTGCTCCAAAACCTCACGGCTCTCTCATAAATCACAATAAAAACAAATTAGGGAATTTTTATCGGACGGGGCTCAAGAAGCCACCTTGTTTTTATTAGGCCTCGAAAAATGGTCGGCTAATTGAAATACTCGAAAAAGCAAGGGAGAGGTGTTAAAAATGGTTCGCCAAAATTAATTAGCAGCAATAAATTGTTTGGTGTCCGCCCACGTGACTCATTTTCAGTTTTTACTTTTTGTTGTTGTTATTTTTGCTTTGAGGATAATGAAAAGCAGAAAGCCAAGCATTTTAACACCTTTTTTGAGAGCATTTCATATTTGTTTCTTAACATTAGGTTGAACATTTATTTTTTATATTTTAAAGCTTAAAGAATATCAAGTAATGATAAATTAGCGATTCCACCGCAATCTTGAACAGAACCATTGAATTGAATAAACAATCTAATTCAAACTTATAATTAAAAATAAAAATCGTGTAGTATTCTCCTCACACTGCTCTTAAATGTTTGGTGTCCTTCACTCAAATCAGAATTCAATTATAAAAAAAGTAAAGTCATAAAATGTAATGAGAGGAAAGGGGGTTTGGGGAAGTGAAAAGAGGCCTTTCTGAAGGAAAAACACGTGAAGCACATTTTCTTAATTGTGTCAAAAGCGCAATTTTGTGCAATTTGTGTGAAATGAAAGCGAAAGTGAGGCCCACAAAATCACGTATATATATAAATACGGGTATATATTTAGTAAGGTAAAAGCTTACGCACCCAAACTCACACCCACTAGTGGAAAAGGGAGGGTCGTGCCAGCGATTTTCCCTCTCTTTTTTCCGGTGCAATTTGTTGGACAAATCTGTTTTTTTATTTTCTTTCACAGGCGCGGCAACTTGATTTTCTCTTCTTCACTCGTTTTTCTCGTTTATTTTTATTTTGATTGTGTTGCGGGGACTTTTTCGTCGTTTTTTGTGCTAATGCGTCAGGTTCGTGAGGTTTTCTATTTCCGCACTTGGGTTTCACTTGGAACTCCGCTTATTAGTTCTGGGATCTGGCAATATCCGTTTCCGCCTGGCATTTTTGCCTTTTCCTTGGCTCATTTCACGCGCTCGATAAACTATTATATTCACTATTTAATTGCAAAGTGCAGGAAAAGCTGAAAATGCAACTGCAGCCCTCAGATGAAGTGTCACAACAAATCGGCAGCCGAAGGGAAAGCCGAGTGCCAACAGCTGACTCGCGGTCCTACGACAACAAAAAACAGGAGGCGCACGAGCACCAGCGGGAAAAATCGATGGCACACTGACTGGGGCTCCGGCGAAACCCGAGAACCAGTCTCCCCCGTGGAGAGAGAGAAGTCGGAGAGAGCGGAGAGAGAGCCGGAGACCCCAGGCTGATAACAGCTGAGCGACTGTGTTTTGGTTCGGTTTACTACTTTTCAGTTTTTGGCGAGGGTTGCTTGTCTTTCTGGTTTTCAAATACTCTGCAATGAAGGGGATACAAAACTTATAATTCAGTTTCAGAATTAAGCTTTCTTTGGTATCCTGTTACCTGTTGACCTTGAATCCCCGAATACTGCCCTCACCCTCCACTAGTCACCCGATTCTCCGATCTCGGTTCCGATGCGAATCCCCTCTAATTGTAGCTCACATCCCAGCCAGGCAAATCGAATCGGAGGGCTCATTAGCATCGCCGGGAATTGGGGACTTAATGCCGGGGTTACGATATCGGGGCACTTGCCATGAGTCATTGTCCAGGCACAATCAACCGACACACAAATCGCACACACAACAACAACACACATACACACACAGACACAACAGTGGAGCCCCATAAACACAAATGCGACTGGTCCCCGGGCAATTGCAATTGTGATTTTATGAGCTTTTCCGGCAAGCTTCTGTGGGGTTTTGAGCATCGATAGCTCGGATTCGGGTTCTGTCGCTGCGGCTTATCCGTGGTCTACACTCACATTAATAATATAAAATATTAAAAATATTAATATTACCTATATTATGAAAAAGGAAATTAAGTAGCGCAGTTTATTTTCGTTAGACTTAGTTCACAATCGGTTTCCTGTTTGATATTACATTTGTTTAATTATAAGTTTCATCCTGTTTCTTTCAGTGTAGCCATGCTTATCGAGCCCACCTCTCTCGCCTTATTTCTCCGCTCTCTTTTCAACCTTTGGGCAGTGCGAATAAACGGACTTTGCATACATAAAAAATACAATTCTATTTACTCATTTATAAATGCGACAATAAAATGTTTAGCTCGGCTTGAATGAATGATTAAGAAGGGGAATTTAAACGAGCAGGAGTTCCCTGGAGTGGATGATGTAACGCTTTGACTGGTACCTATTTTATTGTTGCTTTTGTTTTTTTTGTTTATGGAGTCGGTCAGCTTTATTGTAATTTTCTTATGTTTTGCACCGCGGTAATAAAAAAATTAAATTTAAGCTCTGATAAAATACGTTTTTGAATTAAATGATTGATCGTGGCCACATTTTAAAAGAGTATACAAATGGTATCGCTTCTTATCTTTTTGTTTACCATTTTTATGGTATTTCATTCCTTTTTTTTGTTCGTTAAGGTGTTAATTTTTTGCGACTTTTCGCACATATCTCGTTTGTTTTGTGGGTCACGAGCGAGTGTGCGAATTGAGTAATTGTTGTTGCCTGCGCAGCTATATTATATAAGATATATCTCATAGTAGCTGCTGCTGCTGCTCAGCTGATAAGCCGTTTATTGCTGCCCGGCACTCTGATAAGAAGCCAACTTACGGATGGACAGAATGACAACTAGACAACTGGCTAACTGGACGATTGGCCAACTGGACACACGTTACCGGGGGTCACGTTCTCGCAATCGGATTAGATTTATGCATTTCGTAACTCATTAGCCGACTCAGATGCGATTTGCTCCACTAACGAAGGGAGAAGCGGCACTGCGGCAAAGCCTTTTTAATTAGCTCATGAAAGATTTCCCAATTTAATTGGACTTAATGCATGCTGGGGAACGAGAGTGGGGAATGTGCCTCGCAAAGTTCGCTCCTCGAAATGTTGCAACTTGGATGTAGATGTAGATGTGGATGTGGATGTGGGGTTTTGGGACTGGCTTGGATTTTAATTAATTTTACACGACGTCTTCGGTGTGCCGAGGCCCTGGGAATGCATTTTGACACATTGTTTGACAAATTGCCAGACGCTGGGGACACACAGATACACTCGCACACTCTGCCGACAAAAGATACAGCCGGAAGGATACGGAAAAAGTCGGAGGAGTCAGTAGGAGACAGGAGTGGCAGGTAACAGAATCATCAAAGCTAAACTTGCCGGCAACTTGTGCCGTCGACGCACAAGTTTAATGCCAAAAAGCAACGCAATTCCAGTGGCAGCTTTAAAAGGGGGTCCGTAGATAAGATATAGTTCGGGTTAAATGTTTTAGGGTTCCTTAGTAACTGAATTTAAATTATAAAATTATTTAAGTACAGCTGTATTTCCCCTTTTATTTTTTCTTTTATAAAGTGGGCTTGTACATAATCGTTTAGCTCCCTTTCCGCGCGCTCCTGTTGCCCACACGCAGGTGCAGATGCCGCAACTATGTTGCACTAACTGCGCTTTCTGCCAGGGCGCAAAATGTCGCCGCAACAGGGCGTATGAGCAACGACTGAGCCAAGCACAAATAGCAACAATGGCAACAACAATCATCATCTGGCCAGAGCATCCAATACGCTCCGGGGGCACCTAAATTTGGACCAGCTCGACCCAGCCCCCACCTTAACCCCCCCTTTTGTCCCGCTCCGATGCAACGACAAAGTCAGTTATGGCCAATAAAAAGCAATGCGACAATGAGGAAACGCCGGCGATTGGGATTCTGCTGCGATGTGGGTTGCGATTTTCGGATCGCAAAATGGGAGATACGACGGCGCCGCCGTTCACCGCCAGCAGATGGCGCTCGAGTGCACCGGAGGCTGTTGCCCTAAAGACGATAGCGTAAAATTGCACGGAATTGGCTGAAATCGGGTCCAAATCGGGGGCGGTGGGGCAAAATGGCCGGCGGACTGGGCGCCTAATGAAACCGTGTTTTGCGTGCAGCCTGTATTAGCAGGCAGCATAACGAGTGGCCCTTCGGCATAATTCTTTCGAAAGCAGATGCTTAAGAGATCGCCAAAGCAGGATGATTATTCAGGTTCCGATTCGCATTAACACTACCGAGAAAATAATAATTTTTGGTCCCAACCCACCACCTAGCCTGAGTCGTTACAATTTCTCAGCAGAACAAAATGGACTTTCAAAACTGAAATTACCTGGGCCCAGAATATCAGCAGAAGTCCAACCACAATTTTGTAGAGACCATTTTCGGTGCCCTCCGAAAATCATCGCAAATCTTCACCGAAAAAAGTCCGTGAAGCGACGAAATGAAAATTATTTGAAATTATAGTTCTGCCAACCCGATCCACCACAACCACATGTTAGCCCAAAAACGCCAGAGACAGGTCACCAAAATGCATCCTGGTCGCACCGAAAACACATTTTGCACATTTTGTGGATACAAGTGGGTCTAATTTTCACTTGCGTTGGGTTAATTTCAACTGTGAAAACTATTTTCAAAATAATGAGTGGACGTGTTAATTGCGGAACAAAATGAAAATCAGCTGAAAAAGGTTTACCTTGTATGAAAGTGAGAAAATGCAGTAGAAAAATACATCACTGACTTTTTACAAAAAATAGTGTTGGCAAATACTTTATATTTTGTATAATGAAGTATATTTCTCTTTTGGTTCAGGGTACTTAAAGCTTTTTTTTGGATCGCCTGCAGCGGCACTCACACCACTCACACACCCACTTGGGAAGAAAGAGACAGACAGATCGGGAACACTCGGAGTGGACACCGCTTGCAGTGCTGCAACTTTAATTGCTTTGGTGGTTTGTGCCAAATTAGATTCTGCGGTTTTGTCGCGTCGCCATTCCGGTAATCGAGGGTGTACTGTAAGCGACGGGGGTGCTGCGGGTCTAGGTGTGGGTGTGGGTGTGGGTGAGGATGTTGGTGTGGGCGTGGCTGGGTGGGTGGTGTCTTGGCCATGGCCTTTTCCCCGAACCCCATCGAACTGAAGCCAAAAGCTGACGCTGACGCCCATCAATTAAACTTGTCAATGAGAATGCGACGCAACAGCAGGAAAAGCAGGAGCAGCGAAAACGGCGACAGGAACCCGGGGAATAAGAATTAATGGTGGGGCAGGGCTTACAAGGGCGCCAAAACCCCCAATCGACTAAAAGTTAACTGCACTTCCCCGCTTAACCGGCATTCAAATTGGGTTTCTGTAGAAGACATACGTACGCGTAATTAGATTGGAGCGTTGGAAATTTAGTTCAATGAGGGTATCATGAGTAACATGTCTCTGTTTTACTATTAGATTTTTCTAGAACTGTAATTAAATTGCACATATGATGCAAAGAACTCCACAACTATTCTCTAATGCAAGGGATCCCCTATTTTTAAACTAGCTTTAAAGTTAAGAATAGCCCCCAGCTGGACCCAAATAAAAACAACCAGATCTTCAATGCAATCAACAAGCTCCGAAAAGATAAGTCGCTCTACATACGCCGTGCAAATGTTATCCCCTCTTTGCCTTGAGTTGTTTTGTTTTGAATATTTGAAAGGAGGTTATGGGGAAAAATGCGGGCTACCGAAATTTCCACTGCTCGAGAGCCGCGGGCCTCTGACATGACTCCTTGGTCTTCGGACTTATCCCGTTGGTCGGTCGGTCCTGTCGTTATGGACCCTGTCCTATCTACTATCTCAGCAATTGTGCGCACTGAGAAATTGATTTATTTTTGTTTACGCCAAAACAGCAAAAAGTTTACCACAATTCCTGCTGCTCTTCCTACGTTGCCCTGGGCCAAGTTTTTGTTGGCTTATTTCTTTGTTGCTCCTGCACAGAAAATATATTCGAGAAAAAAGTTTTTTCTATCTTTTTTTCTTTTGAAAGTCGAAGAAAGTAAGACTTTAGGTTTAAGAAGATTTTAAACTGACTGGCTTAGAAAAAATAGTACGAATAGCAATTGATTTTAAGCACCACTGTTCATATAATTTTCTCTCCGTGTGGCACTTCGTTATCCTCTGCTTGGGAACAGTCGGGCTAATCCAAATGCTCTCTAATTACATTGGCCAGCAAGTCAACACAGTCAAGGCCAAGACCTCCCCCTGTCTGTTTGAGTTGGCCATGTCCGCTGTCTACTTTCCAGGCCGCTTATCATTTTTTAGCCCTGGCTCAAAGACACTCCTAATTATTGGCCCTCCGGCTGCCAATGGATTGGGCCATTGAACTGGCTCTCTGCACTTCTTCTGCTGGCTGTTCAGCCGTGTTTATGAGAGTGCGACGACACCTGGCGACATCAATTAGAGGGCCGGGCGGGGGTTTTCCGAAATGGCCTTTGCCAAATGGGAAACGGGGCTTAAAGCCCGATTCCTCCTGGCCGACAAATGCCAAGAGTGGTGAGTGTGTTTACAGGGGTGCAAATGGGACGTAATCGATGCCAGGCTCGAAAGTCTGGATAATTGGCAAGGTTACCCTTTACACCGGGATTGTTTATTAATTTAAAATGCACACCTGGCTAAGGCGACCTTCCGTAAGCAGTGCCAGAACATATTATTATGCATTTCATGCACAGACATCGTTCACAAGTTTAACATATACATATTTCCCCCGTATAAGGAATAATTTTTTCTCCTTCTGCGTCGCGGAAATTTATGAAGGGCCCTCCAAACGGCCTACGACCCCTCCGCCCCCCTTTTGCCCCCTCTGCACTTTGGGGATGGAAAACTGGAAAAGCAAAACGAGGCGAGCAAAATGGCAAGCAATAAAAATAATTGCGAATTTCGAAATTTAAGTGTAGGCGTGAGGCACGTTTAAAGTGGCGCCTCGGCTCCCCCTTATCCACGCCCCTAAATTTCCAGCCCCCGCGTCCCCACTTTGCGAACAATGGCCAAAAAAATGTTCAGCGCAGTGTAAAATCTGCGAATCGCGGTTTTCTTTTTTCACTTTGTGTGTGTTTGTGTTCTACAATCTGTTTCGCAACTCACGTAAAATATAAGGTAATTTGTGGAAATTTGATGTTTATCGTAAATTGTTTTTTATTTGCACAATGTCACCATTTTGCGGTTTGCCAGCAGCGCACACTCACACACACACACACACACACGCCCACTTTGGTGGTCAGAGTCGCGAGGCAGTCAAAAAAAAGATAAATACAAATTTTGGGAGAGGCGGGGTCTTTTGAAATGCCAAATACACTTCCTACAGGTGCAGAAAAATTCCGTGACAAAAGTAATGATTTGAACACCTATTACCACTGACTATTCAATGGAATTTGCATTATAGATATTATAAAAAAAATTAATTTGGACTTTAAGCTAACAGGTAAGACAGATTTAGTGATACTCTTAAGTATATTTTGTTCTTGCAATCGCATTTTCTTCAGTGCTTAAATGTGTGGCTTATCAAAGCGTTCCCTTTTTCGAACCGGAGTTTATTCCGGCCTAATTGTGCGGGCCAAAAAAGTGGAATTGGTAAAAACGATTGCAAACATTTTTCAATTTACCTGCATGGCGGACACGTTTTTCCTTCTTCTGTTGTTTACTTCAGTTTTTATTGGACTTTTCGGGGTGCTTGATATTCTGGGCTTAATTGCAACACGAATGCCCCACTGCAGAATGGCTAACGATATGACAGCTGTGATCAGAAGAGCCGGATAGAAATATTCTATTTGGTATATAAGCATTTTGACCAAAAATTATGTGAGAAAACAAAACGAAAAACACAAAATTTGACAGGATTTGATATGACTTGCCCCCTCAAAAGGTTCGGAAAAACTGTTGGGTTTAATTTTCATTTTATTTATTTTATATTTATCGTATATTCTGTTTTACATTGTATAATATCGTATATCATTACGGTCTAGGTTTACAGTTAAAATTAGTTTGGTTTCGCAATTAAAATGTCAGTAATGTAATGTTACAAACGCCTGGCGTGAACACCTTTTTTGTTCAGTTTTCGTTTAAAGAACAGTTTTCAATAGTTAACATTTTCTTGAAGGAAAATTATAAAACGGACATTGACAAGTTGGACAGTATAACATAGATGCAGACTTAGACTTAGGACTATTGACTATTTTGATCTCGTTTTGGTTTTAGATTACAAATACATTTTGGCTTACATCTAGTTGGATTAGGGAACAATGCGGTCTGAGTTTCATTGTGGATGAATATTAATTATTATTAATGTTCACTTTTTGTATAATACACATGCTTAGTTTGAAAAGGAAATCATATTCTCATTAATGTTCTACCCAGGGCCACATAAACGTTTATTTCCTATTAAGTAATTTTTGAATGTATTAGACATTGTGTTAGAGATATTTTGTTTCGAATTGAATTGCTGTTTACATAGATGTTCTATAATCTTTGGTTTACTCTTTTCGTGTATTTACAATAACCTTAACATTAAATATCAATTCAATGGAGCTCTACAGCTAGGGGAGATTTATGTTTACGTAACATTCATTAAAAAATGTTCCATCAATTATTCAACTAAATATCCATGCAAACTTTTTGCGCAAACACTTTGAAATAGACTTTTGCACTTTTTGCATGCATATTTCACTCTGTTTTTTGTTTGCTAAACATCAAAATAAATGCTTCAATTATGCGGATTTATTACTTGAATATTTCATAACTGAGCTGAACAAGTATTCGATTACAAACATTTTCCACTTCTTTTTGCGTTTGTGTGCAATTCGGTTCTCTACCGTGAGTCATAGTGCTAAAGGGTTTCGGCTTTCGAATGAAAAACAAGAAAAAAAACTAAACAACTAAATGCTTTTACAACCAATTTTGATGGCTACAAATTTATTCGATTTAATTTACTGTCAGAGTGAAATAAAGGCAAGCAAATCAATATTTCGAAATTTTTATTCCGCCCTCAAGTCGGGAGAATGTTTTGTAATTGTTTGTGTGGTGATTTTTGGGTAATCACTTTTTTACGTTTTCACAAAAAAGGTAAACGTATATAACGATTTAAAGTATCTGCAAGAATATCTCAAATCAACTTTAGTGAACAGTCCATTTGAAGACTCCCCGCAGCTTAACAAAAAATTGACTTTGATTTGACGTTTGTTCATGCTTTTTGTCTATTATGATTGAGTAATTTGTTATTTTGTTGCTAACAGATAGTTCTGATATTTGGTTTTGCATATTAAGTGGTTTTACTTGCAGTTAATCTATACGTAAGTGCAACTTACTTGGACTTTTGACTGGCAGCGTTCAGTTTCAAAGTTATTTGTCGTTGCGAGTCTACTATTTACAGATTGCACAGTAATAAATTGACATTATGTGCTCTGATTTTAGCGAATATTGAGTTGCACAGAGGGCTTTGTGCAATGGCAAATTAATTTGCAAATTTACACAATCTAATTTCGGGTTACCGAGGGACTCAGACGACCGATTGTTAATTTGTAATTACAATTTTTGCATTATTATTGCTCGCCGACAATGCGAACAATTGAAATTAGCAGCGCAATTAGTCGATGCGAGCAAACAAATATTCGTTCCAATTTAATGCCCCGATGGAGACAAAAGCTAATGAGGAGTCGAAAACTTTTGCCAACCTTTCCCCCTTTTTGCATTGTGTCGAAGTTTGATTTTTATTGGTTATGTTTGTTTTGGCCTGACTGGGTGGAAAAGCAATTAAATGAACATTTTGTCTCTTTTATTTGATTTAAATGAAAACAATTTTCATACTCTGCAGAAAGGCTCTAAAAAAGGCACGGAAACCTCAAAAGGTGGCTTTTGTGTTTGGCTGTCGGTTTAACAATGATTTGACCAGAATATTATGGCTGTGTTTTTGCAGTTTGTCGCCGGGGACCTCAATATTTTGGCCACATGTTTGAAAAAGTATGGAATACATTATCGTTTACAGATGAATAATGAATAAAGCGCCAAATAAAATAGCTTGTTTCAAAATAACAAAAAATAGTTTTTGTATTACCAATACTAGTAAATTTCACGCCTGAAAAATATGAACAAGGTGACAAAAACACACAAAAAAGCTTATCGTACGTTTTTCATTATTATTAATAATATATAACATTAATTGTAATTTACATTAATGGTAGTTTTTTGGGCAGTATATTTATTCAATGGCAGATCTATTTAAATTGATCGACACAAAGTAAAAGGTTGTTCATTATTAACTTTTATATTACCTAATATACCGGTAATACGTGAATTACGCAACTGTCTTTTATTTTTTGGTATTTCTGCAGATTTTTCACATTTACAGCAATTTGTTTGCGTTTTTGGTCGAAATAGGCATTTTTTATGAATTTGGTTTTTATGTTTGCATTGTTAGCAATTTTCACGCCACTTTAACAGCTAAAAATGTTATTTTTATGTATGTGCTGTTTAGTTTTTTATTTGCTATTTACTTACTTAAATGCTTATGTCAAAATGTATTTTGTTGCAGTTTTTGTTGCGGGTTGTTGTCTCTTAACTGGCAATTAGTTTAATTTGCCAAATCCTGTATTATATCCGCTGCAACGAGAGAGGCAAAAATCGATTTGCGTTTAGTGCGATTTAAGCTCATTAATAAATAATGGTGAAATATGCAATTTAAATTAATTAATGCGAGTGTGGGCGGGGTAGAATCACTAAGCTATTAATTTGTGGAAAAAGAGGATAGTGTGTTTCGTTCCCCATATATCATTTGGATTTTTGATTGGGGTCAGACGAATTGCGGGATTATGTTTTTATATTTATAGAAATTCGCTCCAAATACTTTAGTACATTTGCATTCAATCAGCATAATGCACCGCTGAATGATTTGTATGCACTCGCATTTATTTTATTTCTATATACCCTTAACCGTATTCCATCCGCACTACCTTCCATATATTCCATGCATTTATATCCATTGATATTATGTGTGACTCGGAGCGTGATGAACGTTGCCATCTCGAAAGCTCGGTTCAAATGCCAAAACACTTCACACACCTCGGGGTGTGAGGACGTTCCCCCCTTTCGCTGATTTGAGGCAACAGTTCGTGCACTTTGACTTGCCTCTGACAATTGCGACTTTTGCATAAATACGTTTTCTGCATTTTCCGAGTCAAGTGGTTGCGGAAACTCTCGCTCGTCTGCCACAATAAAATACCTTCGATGCGTTTCTGATGCATTCTGAATGCGCGGCGCGGGAATGTATCTGCTCGAAACGCGGCAATGCATTTTCCGCACGGTTTTTCCACGCCCTTCGCTTTTTCTCGCCCCGTGGAACTCAATTAACGCTTTTCGGTTTCCTTTCACAAAATGTGACACGGTCGTTTGAGCTTTATGTTTGACCGCTTGTTGTTATGTTTCATTACCTAATAAACATTTTATGAGCCGGGGCAGTCGGTCAAACAGGAAGACAGACAAAGGCCCAAATTGGTAAATTGTTTGAAAAGATGCTTACCCGCCGACCCCTCCCGTTTTTCCCATTTCAGCCCGCTTTTCAGCGTTTTCCTCGCCTTTCAGCGAACCATTTCGGCCAGGCCGTAATTAACAAGCTGCAAAACGGCTCCAATGGGCTGGCAATGAGTTTCCCGGCTTTACTTTCTGTTCCTCGTTTTTGCTCGAGGTTAGGTGAAAGATGGAAGCCCCTATCAAAGGTGCTTCCTAGCAAAGGTACTTACATATATACATTATATTTACTTTAATTCAACACTTTTCCAGGTTTATTCTTTGATGAAACTGATTGAATTAAATAGTTAAAGTGTTAATAACAGGCTATAACCTATTGTTAATAAGTTTTAGAGTATCCCTAGGTCGTTGTGGCTCAAAAGTCTGTTAATGTTGACCCCTTAGCATCCTCCTCTGGTTCTCTGCTCGTTCCACTCCGCCAAAACCATCGTGATGATAGTCCGATGGCTTTTGTTGGTCCATAAAACATGTTTCCCGGCAATAAGATGCGTTTCCTACCTGAACTCTCCTCCGACTTCTCCCGCCTCGTTCCTGGGCTGCTCTTGTATTTATGCCTATGAATATTTCATTTAATTGAAGCGCATTCATTACCAACCACACACAGCAAACAACCCCCTTCTCGCCGCCCGAGCGCCACACTTTTGGCGTTGTAATTAAAATAAATTTATTACGTAAAATGTTTTGCCAAAAAATTTGTCGAAAGTTGTGGCTTTGGCCCCATGGCGTAATAAATAATGTGGAAGGTGTGTGCGCGGGTATCTGTATCTGTGTGTGCGGAGTATCTGTGTGCGGAGTATCTGTGTGCGGAGTATCTGTGTGAATGTATGTTTAATGATCTGTGCTCTCATTGTTTTTGCCGCCGTTGCTGTACGGAAATTGATGCGGTTAATATGCTTCCAATTGTTAATTTCTGCATTTCGTTTTGTATTTCCAAAAGCCGCAAAATCATACCAGCCAAACAAGAAAAAAAAACACGCACAGCGAATGCAAATAGAAACCGAAAACAAAAAGCTAAATCTAATCAACAGAAATAACAAACCAACCGAGCGTTCGACCAACAAATTTAATGGGTAACCGAAAATTTATGATTACCCCTCTGATTTGGGCAACCGAATTTTTGAATACGCCAGTAATTAAAATGGTGAAAGTATTATCTTGGGGGAACTTTCCAATCGTATTTAAAAATGTGTACGCGAAATAAAAAATGACGAGTAAAGAGTGCTCTAAAGTTAGTTCGGCTTGACTGCAGTCCATTAGATACTCGATCCAATCAAATGCACTTCAACTCCATAGAAATTTAATCATTCCATCGCAGCCAGCTGAAATTCCCGGAATTCCAACCGGACATCGACACCCCAACTAAAAGAAAATGATATCAGGAGCAGCACTAATTGAAGTACACGTTAAAAGCTAACTCGAACTAAACCTGAATTGAATCAAACGCAACGCACTGCAATTCAATATGGCGAAAAGAGCGAAGTACTTGAAGTGAAAATGTTTGGCATTGCGTAACTCGCTGCGTGATTTGTATGGTTTGGACTGGGATCTTCCGGTTTCGGAACTCTGACTGCACTGAAAATAAGCCCTACCTACCTTTCGGGATAATCATTCTGCAAACATATAATTTAGTAATATTACTTAACGTAATAAATACAAAAATGTCAGGTAGGGCACGAATAAATAAGGATATAAGTGCAATACGATATGATAGCTATCTTTTTCTGCCCGTGTGGGAAGTACAGTGCAAATCGGCAATTGGATTGTGCAAATCGAGGAAACTCACCAGCTCGAAAGCATTGCATACTTTACAGCGCAATTTCGGGCATTGAAACAACAGCGGAATACTTGGCTTCTCGCTGTTTTGTTTGGATCCTTTTGTTGTTTTCTGAACCACGGTCATCAAAGTCAGAAGCGAGACGGCAATATAGAGTGGTCGGTCCTGAAGGAGCGGAGCGGGATAACAAAAGTCTGCGGGAGCCGGGCTTTTATCGCTTTAAACTGGCACTCGAGTTCCACTTGCCATTCAACTGGAGTCTCTGGAGTCTCTGGAGTCTCTGAAAAGGAGGTGGTGGCACTGGAGAGAACTGAAGAAACTGCCGGGCTCCCGGGCTCCCAGACTCCCGGGTTCGTCTTCATCCGAAATCCCCAGCTGACACCACAACAACCCTTTCACCCGTAATGCACCGATTTTGGTGGCGTTTTCCGTCTTTTATGGCAGGGGGTATTTACATTTGTTTTCCCATTTCCCAAGCAGAAGTTGCAAATGTGGATGGTAGCAGCAATACTCTCATTGGTAATCGATATGAAAAATACATACACAATACGAATAATGCCAATTTAATAAAAATATCTGCTGCACTCGTTCTGCTAACAAGCAAGTACTCGGGGAACACACAAAACGCCCGCCCACACACTATTCAACCGAAATCCGGTTGACTATATATCGCCCGACTGCCCCGAAAATTAAGGCTCAAAAGTTTCTTTATCAATGATCATTAAGGGTATTTGTGGTTTCGCCTGCACCGCAGCTGTTCATCCTTGCCACTTTTTCTTTTCGCCCATCTTGAGTTGGCATATTTTCGTTTTCGTTCTCGTTGTCGTTTTTTCGTTTTTGTTTTTTGTTTTTTTCGGCTATGCTCTTGTTGCTTTGTGGCCAAAAATGCGGCAAAAGGGGTCGGAATGGGGGGAAGTCGAGTCTTTGGCCATGGCTTTTGTTTTAATTGAAATGTTTTTGCTCCTCCGCTTGCTGCTGCTGCTGATGCTACTGCTGCACGCTGCAGCTGCTTCTCTTTTCTAAGCCGATTAGAAGCAGTTCATAATGTATACGGCTAAATATGAAAGCTGGTCAGGAAGTTTTCCGCTCACGTTCTCCCCTTCCCCCGGAGCTTGCTGAACAATTGTTTTGGTCCACCCTGTACCCTGTGGAGTGGACCGCAATTGCCGCAGTCTCTCTGCCTTTGTCTGTCTGTCTAATTGAAGCAGCGTTTAGCAGATAGCACGCCGTATGCGGAATATGCGACGTCATACGGGGCGTATGCGCAACCAAACGAACGGATATCTTATGCATAACAACACAAAAATCACGCATACGCCGTGTATGCGATTTTATGTGTGTATGGGTGTGTGTGTTTTGGAGAGAGCATACTAAAGAACCGCAGCCTTTGCTAAAAGTAAATGCATGGACCGTCTAAAGCACTCGCAATCGGAATCGCAATCCTTTTATGCATTCCATGTGGCATTGCGGCCGACATTGGAGAAAATCAATCAACTTCTGGTTCGTTGAGGTCGTCTACTCGGGGTGATGAATTCTATTAGGGGACGAGCTTGGGATCTGGCTTGGTATAAGCGAGAGAAAGTGTTATTTGCTGTATCAAACATTAAAAGTTGTCTAACGGCAGAGGGAATGCAATTAAAAGGGGATTTTTCGGTTGCCATTTTCGTTTTAATTGTCATTTAATCGTTTTAATTGTTGTCACACATTTTAATGTATTTTTTCAGTACCATGTAGATATTCATACTTCTATGAAATATTTAATTGTTTTGTTTGACATAAATTGATCTTTTGCAATAATAGTTATGTTTTTGATACCTTTCCTCCCCACCACTTTGAAGTGTATTTCTCACCCCCTATTTCTCCCTCTGTATCCCCGTTTGTGTCTTTATTTATTTGTGCAATGTATTTTCCTTCGCTGGCTCACTTCGCTTACATCTGGCAACGTTGTTTGATTTTGAGTTTGTAAAATATTTTCTGCTTCAGCATTTTGCTTTCCCCTCCCTTTCGCCGAAGTGCATCCCTCCCTTTCTCCCATGCGATATTTTGTTTGGTATTTTCCAGTATTTTCTCTCCTATATTTTTTTTTTTCGAGGAGTATCGTCGGCGATAGTTGTCGCTGCGAGCGATTTGTTGTTTTTGATGGAGGAGGGGTATTTTTAGGGGCAAGGGCAGACAGACTATTTTATGTGCATTTATCTCTGTGTGCTTCGAATGCTGCTGCTGCATAAAAGGATATACACATGCAAATTCCACACAAGGATATAGGGACGGGGATAAGAAGGGACGCACTGCCTTTCCATCCATTGTGGAAGCCCTGTTTTATTTATCCAAACCACTTCAGCTCGGAGCGCCAGCAAAACTCTTGGCCAAACATTCCCCAACACTAAAGTGCATAATCAATCAAACTGATTTCTTAGTCGCCTCAACCGATTTCGGATTTGTGTCCGGATTGGATTTGTGGATGGATTATTTTCCCAATGAGATTTTCCTGTTGTGTGCTGTGTGTGGGAATCGAATCTGGCTCCGAGGCTCCAAGGCTCCAGAGCTCTGCCATTTGGCATTATGTGTTTTGAACCCCGCTCTCTGTTGGCCCGACTAACACCTTCTAAACTGGCTTTAGACAAATGTGGCAGACTCACCCATTGGTTTCGCCTGCTGCTGCTGCTGTTGCTGCTGCTGTTGCAGATCCTTCCGCTGCGGCGGCAAGGGCGGCTGCTTTCCGGACTTGCGGAGGGTTCCGTACCGCTGGGCGGCCTGCAGCATCTCGTGGGGCGCCAGCTGCTGCGTGGGGCTGAAGCTCTGCTGGCTGAGCGAGCTGGTCACCGTGGGGATGTGCGGCGAGTAGCCACTGTAGTCGACCAGCCCGCTGAACGCCGACGGCGGCCGCTCCACGTAGATCTGCTGCGACTGGGCGGCGGCCATCTGGAGGCGCCACAAGGCCTCCTGCGACAGGTCCCTGGCGTTGCTGTAGTTGTTCTCGTTCGGGTTGTTGCTCGACCCTGCAAATCAGATGGCTCATTACTACCGAATGGTATTGGAACTGGATAGGGATATGGCTAGTTGGCATGGCTGTGCAGTGAGAGAAAGGAAAGCAAAGGTGCCAAGTGCTTCGGTGCTCTGCAGTGGGTGCGAAAACTTGAAAGTCACAGTGGCTAATTGGAAAACACGAACAAACATTAACACATTTATGCCGGCTCATTCTAATCAGAATGAATTGTAGTGCCAGCTAGGATTAATCACTAACTCTATGCGCTCTATAAATAAATTATAGTACATTCCCATAAAATGTATATTGTTGCTTAATGTTTAATAAACTGAATGGCATGTGCTTAGAGACAAACTATTAGGTGCATGCTCCCATAAGACTGATAATCGTTGATTAGTGAGTTAGTAAAGTGTATTTCTAGAAAGAACAAACGAACGAACACCTTCACGACGAAATTTAAGCGCTTAAGGGTAGAAAACAAGTGGGAAAGACGGGAAAGGCGGCTCGAGGCGCAGGCATTCACTGCCAGGGATTGGAGGCCTTCATCTTGCGGAGGCAGGAGAGGGTGGCGGCCACCAGCTGGCGGGAGCCGGTGACCAGGACGTCCAGCTCGTTCTTCATGCCGTACTTCTGCTTGCCGTACTTGTTCGACAAATACTCGAAGAAGGCTCCGATGGAGATGGAGAGCTGCGAGTTGTCCCGCTTGCCGCTCTCCTCGCAGAGCGCCCGCCAGTTCCCCGCGTTGCGCTTGGCCCGCTGCAGCTCCTCCAGGCCGTGCCACACCATGGCGGTGCCCTCGTCCTCGGGCAGCAGCTCGCCCTCGAAGAAGTTGGGACTGGGCACGAAGCAGGCCTCCTCGAAGCGCAGCTGGCTGCGCACGATGGTCAGCAGGTCCTTGGCGTTGAACTCGTTCACCTTGTTGAAGAGCAGCACCTTCGGCTGGCGGTTGGAGCGGGTGCGCGTGTAGAACCAGTCGCGGCAGGCCATCATCGACTCCAGCGAGTCGGCGCTGTCCAGGTACACGTTGAAGATGTCGTGCCGCAGGAACTCGAACTGGCCGCTCTGCTCGAACGTCTCGATGCCGCGATGGGCGCCCGGAGTTAGCAGCGTGGGGTTCTGCTCCACGCCCACCACGTACTCCGGCTTGTGGCGCTGCAGGAAGTCGTAGGCCAGCTGCACGGCCAGCGACCCGTTCAGCCGCACCGAGTAGTTGGACTTGTTCAGCAGCAGCTTGTTCTCCATGCTGCCCTCCAGGTACTCCATGAACGAGGGCACCCGGCGCAGCTGCACCCCGATCTGCTGGGCCTTCTGGGCCAGCACCTCGCAGCACTCCGGCTGGGCGACGCTAGTGAAGACGCTGGCCCCCGGCTTCATGATGCCCGCCTTGGCCCAGGCGATGTCCCGCAGCGAGTTGCCCAGCGTGGCGCTCTGCTCCCAGCCCAGCGTGCTGATCCCGATGGTCTGCGCGTGGGCGGCCACGTTGGTGGCGTCGCCGGCGCCCCCGCCGCCCACCTCCAGGATGGCCACCTCGACGCCCGCCTGGTGGAAGGCGTGGAAGGCCATCACCGCCATCAGCTTGTTGTACGAGGGCGGCGGCTGGGTCTTGGCCAGCTCCGCGTTGATCCGCCAGAAGAGCTCCGTGAACTGCACCTCACTCAGAGGCTCGCCGTCGATCCGGATCCGCTCGCTGGTGAGGAAGAGGTGCGGCGAGCAGAGCACCCCGGTCCGCAGCCCGTGGCAGCGCAGGATGCTCTCCACGAGGGCGCAGGTGGAGCCCCTTCCCTTCGATCCCGCCACCTGGATGACGGGGATGGCCTGCAGCTGCTTCTTGGAGAGGCCCGTCTTCTCCAGGCACTCGAGCGTCTGCTCGACCACGGGGTCCGGCTCCCTCGCGCTGCTCTTCGAGGTGGCGGGCGCCCTGCCCGAGGTGGGCTCCAGCACCTGGTAGCTGTTCAGCTGCCGCACCGCGTCCAGGTAGGCCACTCGCTCCGCGCTCTTCTCCTCCGGCTGCTCGGGCGGAGGGGGAGCCTTCTGGGGGAGGTGTGCGCCTCGGGAGGCGGAGCACTGGCCTTCTGGGCCTCCATCTTCTGCATCTTCTGCGCCTGGATGTCCTTGCCCGCCTGCATCTTGGCCTGCATCTCCTTGAGCCACTGGTTCTGCTTCTTCTGCTGCGATCCCTGCATGCGGTTCATCCAGTTCTTCCGCTGCGACTCCGAGCAGGCGCCCTTGAAGGCCGCGGAGTCCTGCTTCTCCTCCTCCTGCTGCTCCTCGCTCCGCCTCTGCTGCCAGGGAGCGGGACTTCCGGCGGCTCCGAAGCTGGACGCCGGGCTACTGGGGTGGCCAGCCGCACCGAACGGGTTTCCGAAGCTCGAGGCCGGATTGCTGGGACTACCGACCGGGTTGAACTGGTTCTTCGGAGGACCCGACTGCGGGGCGCCCTTCTCGGCCGCCAGCTTGGCCTTCCTCTGCGCTTCCGGCGAGACCTTGGCCAGCCACTTGGCCCGCTGGTCGGGGATGAGCGGCTGGACCGCCGGCTGAGGCTTCTGGCCTGGGGAAACAGTTGGGTTGTTCACCGGGCTCAGACCCAGTGAAGGACTCTTCTTGAGCTCTGGTGGCTTCATTTCCGGCGGTGATTGCGGTGGCGGTTGCGCTGGAGACTGCGTTTGCAATTGCGATAGCGTTTGCGGGGATTGCGACTGCGGTTGCGAATGGGATTGGGACTGCGTTTGGGGCTGCTTCTTGGACAACTCCTTGAAGGCGGGGCTCTTCGCCGAGGGCGCCTTGAAGCTCATCTTGAAGAAGCTCTGGTTCGACTGGACCGTCCATCGCAGGGCCTTCAGGCGGGAGCTCTGCCGGCGGTACATCAGCGGCAGCAGGGAGTACATTACAGCAACACAAAATAAAATCTGTTTTTTAATTTTTTGCTATTGAGGGACAGAGTTGAATGAATTGCCAACGAAATGTACGAATTTAGAACAAAGAAATTTTCGAGGGAGTTTTCTGTATTTGAGTTGGGTGAAGTGTCAGTCGATCGGACACAAAAGGGAAAGGTAGTAGAGGGAGTTGTTCATTGGTGTTAATACTTAATTGATATTAAATTGATTTCCTAGATATATTTTGTTGAACTGTTTCCCACACCAGTGTGTATGCAAATTCCTGTTATAGGATTCATTTTTTCAGCTTCCTCTCGAAACTTTTGCCAATATTAAATACGAATAACAAATTTCGCCACAAACTTTCAACTTCCACTCTCAAATTTCTTGTCATAGTTTGGGGCATGCCAGACAATATTGCTACACGAAGAGAAACTTTTGGAAGTGCAGAAAATTAGTGACGAACTCAGTGAGCATAACACATTCCGTGTGGTGATTTTTGTCCACCTTAACCTCTAATTGAGGAACTGCTCACCATTGGATGCATCCCGAAACCCATTTTAATTAATCCCCCGACAGTGGAAATATTTTTAGAGTGCGACAACAATTAGTGAGGAAACATACACAGTAACTTGCGTGTGGTGCGTTCTATTTCGATTATTTTGAGTGCTTTGGTGCCGAGTTTTTCGAGTTTTATTTGCTCGTGTGGTGCGAAAGTAGCTCCTGTTCCCCGCAGTTTTTTCCCCGCTCCTCTCCGTCGCTGCTAGCGGGAGTTACCTGTGATGGCCAGTGTGGTTGTTGTTGTCGCTGCCTTCGCGTTGCGAGACGTTGTTGTTATGGTGGTTGCCAGTGCCGTTGTTGTTGCCGCCGTTGCTGCGGTCACCAGGGATCTCTCCCTCTCCCTTTCCCTCTCTCGTTCCCTCTCCCTCTCTCGCTCCTTGTTGCCCAAGTGGTTGCGCTTCAGGGTGGTGCAGTTGTTGGTGTTGCTGGTGGTGGTGCCGTTGCTCGAGTGGCTGTTGTTGTTGCCCAAGTTGTTGTAGTCGTTGGTGGTTGTTGTGTTGCTGTTGTTGTTGGTGTTGGCGATGGTGGGTTGGTTCGTTAGATTGGCGCGTGCCGAATGATGCTGCTGCATTGGGTTGATGTTGCCGCTGCCGCCGATGTTGCAAGTTGCTGGTGTCGCCTCAAGTGGTCCTGCTTTGGTTGCAACCACACACCAACGCAGAGTGTGTGTGTATGTTTGTATGTATGTGTGGCAGTTGTCGAGTGTGCGGAGAGGGCAGAGAAATAGTAATTAAGTTGACGCTTGCCAAAGGGAAAGCGCAAGGAAAGTGCAACAAAAGCCCGCGGAACCCACAATTAAAATGCATTCTTGGGGGCCACACTCGAAGAAAAATTGTCAACTTTACAGAACCAGAGATGCAAGTCAAAAAGTGATCAGTTCAAGAGTTATCAACAGAAAAATAAATATAAGAATTTTGTGTATCTCCTGCCAGTTTTCTTGAATCAACTCGATATTATTTCCTCAGTGCAGCTCTCCCCTTCGTTTTCTTTTAAACTTGTAGCTTTCCATTTAGGTGTGAATGGAGTTCCTTTCTTTATTGTTCAGCACCTTTCGCTTGAAAGTCAGAGGTGCAAAATAAGGTGTAGAAATGCCCCGGGTTTGGGTTTAGCTCTCCGGCCTAATCGGATTAAAGACTAAGTGGTGACCTCTTTAAGGGGATTATTTCAGTCGAGAATTGTGAGCTCAAGTTGCTTAATTGTGTCGAATTTGTTTATTATATTTTCGAGTTGCCGAAGACGATTTTGTTGCTAATTGACTTTTGTCACTTGTTTCCAGGTGGAAAAGGCAGTCTACAGCAGAAAAATTAAATTGTGTCTTAAGCTTTAATGAATTCATGATAGTTTTACTCTTATTTAATTTAGTTTCCAGTTAGTTTTTTTTAGAGCTTTTATTGCCTTTGCACCTAAATTGCCTCTGTATATGAACTTATCAAAATGTTATAAGGTCAACCCTCTCAATCAATTAGGAAGACAAATCTGAGATATCAGAAATCCCTATTAACTTTGGAATGACTTACCAAAGATCCTAAGCCGACTGTAGCGGATTAAAAAAGGGGCCCCCGTACAGGGGTCACTCTGTAGAAGGGACAATGCCAGCTGAAGGACGGCGGTTTAATTCTCGCTTAATTGGAATTACGACGCAAGCTTTTCAGCTGCTCCCGTTTCCGTTTCCGGTTCCCAGTGCCCAGTTCCCTGTTCCCTGTTCCCTTTTCCCGTTTTCCACTTCCCGACGGTGTTGCTTTGCCGATTGGTGTCATTTCGGTTGCCAATCCGAGCTGCTTATGCCCGACACCAAACACCATGGAAAGCCGGGTGGAAAGCGGGTGGAGGGGGAGGGAAAAGCGTGGGGATTCGTGAAAAGGGACAGCGGAGGCGCTGCATTTGCATGAGTAGCTCGGTAAGTGGAGGAGGAGGAGCCGCTCTAGATTGACATGAAATGCAATTACGGCCAAAAACTCCGGCCTGGGGAACGGGACGCCCCATCGGAATGGCCGCCATAAATCTGCGCCGAAAAATGTGTCGCTTAATCAAGACACACACGCCCACCGAAAGCCCCGAGAACCCCGAATCCCGAAGCCGCAACCCACTTTTGTAGCCACAGAGCCACGTCTCTTCATAAGTTGTCGCCTGGCTGCAGTGAAATTTGTCCAGCTTGCCACAGTCAGCGGAAAAATGGGTGGAAATTGTAGGAATTTATGGGCAGAACATAGCAGATGAGCTACAAAAATGTTGCGGAATTTATGTGGAGGGTGTTTAATCCAGAATGCACAACGAAGAAATATAATATTATAAATTGGGATGGCTACACAGTTTTGAAATCATTGGGAAATTTACTCGCCATACGAAGTTTTGGCATTAAGATTACTACTTATAATATTATGAAATGGTTTGCCTTATTCCCTCCTACAATTTGCTTTCAACTTTTTCTCTGTCTGTACTCACACTCTCCGGCGCCTCCTGGTCCGTGTCCATGGCCATGTCCGTGTCCGTGTCCATGGGATCCTGCTGAGTTGGCCGCGGAGGGCAGCACTTGATAGCTGTCGCTGTCCACGCCGATGGCACTTGTCACATGGTAGCCGTAGCCGTTCGAGTGCGGGTGCCCGGAGACCCCGGCGACGGAGCCGGAGCTGGAGCCACCGGCATTGCCCCCGGAGCCGCCCACTCCGCCGTAGATGCCCAGGATGGCCTTGGGCTGCTGGTACTGGCCGTGGTTGCTGTGGTGCTGCTGCTGCTGGTGCTGCTGCATATTCAGCTGCTCGTCGGGATCGTGGAGTGCGGTGAGGGTCAGCTCCCTTCCCCCCCCCGCTCCCGCTGCCCATCTCCTTGGAGTCCAGGCTTCCGGTGGGGTAGTAGGGGGGCGGCGGGGGCGGCTGCTGCGACTGCTGGGTATCCTGGCTCAGCGAAGGCCTTCGGCTGGCGTCCAAGTCAAGGTCGTACTCCTTGGCGGCCGTGGATCCCGCACTCGCGGCGGTGTTCGCGGCGGCTCCTCCTGCGGCCGAGCCACTCTCCTTTTTGGAGCCGTGCCTCCGGCGGCAGCGACAGAAGGCGTAGAGCAGAGCGAGGAAGACGACGAAGGACAGCGCGGCGATCACGATGGCCACCAGGGCGGAGGTGGTCATGGAGGAGTTGTGCGGCATGTAGGACTTGCCAACTGCAAGGGGGAGTTGTTTGGAGTTAGTTTTGGGGATCTCTTATACTAATTAGAATCTTGGGATCTCTTATCTAAAGAAGCTAATTATTATAATATTTTGGAAATCAATTACATTATTTACGGTATATATTTCATTCTAAGAAACTTTTAGTTATTTACTTTATTATTTAAACTGAAGATGAGTAATTAATTAAATATATTATTTTATCTTAAGGGTGTTTAGGGATTAGATAATAGCAGTACTCACTTTCAGCATTCGCATATGCTCCGCAGTGATCGTGGTTGGACCTCAGGCAGAGCTTGACCCGCACCACTGGCCCCGGACCCGCAGTCTCTGCCAAGGCCATGGTGCGATCCTCGCCCAGGTGGGAGCCACCTACTCCACCGACTCCACCCACTCCAAGACTCCTGCCCTGCGAAGCGGTGGCCGTGGAGTAGTGGGCGGGTCTCGAGACGTGGTTGATGACGGCCTCCCTGTAGGTGGTCTCGCTGCCCGAGGAAGACCAGTTGAGGGTCTCGACGATCTCCCACATGGGGACGGTGGCGTCCCGGGAGACCAGCGACTCCACCACCGCGATGAGGGAGAGGCAGGTGGCGGCCACGTTGATGCCCAGCTTGCGCGAGTTGGGGTCGAAGCTCACGTGCAATGGAGGGGGAATCTTGCTCACCTTGGTGGTGGCCAGGATCTCGTTGGAGTAGCCCGAGGTGCCCTTGGAGTTCAGAGCGTACACCTTGAACATGTAGCTCTGATGCTGGTCCAGCGGCGCCAGCTTGCAGGGGTTCTCCTTGAAGCAGTTGAACTCGATCCACTCGTGGTTGCTGCTCCCCGAGGAGGAGCTGCTCACCTGGTAGCTGGGCACGTAGCCGTGGCCGGAGCAGTCGGAGAGGGTCTGCTCCCTGGGCGTGGCCACCCGGCGGTAGCTAACCAGGTACTTGGTGCTCGCGAAGCCGCCGTTGAAGCCCGGCTGCCAGCTGAGCACGGCGTAGTTGTGGCCCACCTCGAGCACCTTCAGGTTGCCGGGCTTCTCCGGCGCCCCCTTGGGCTGCAGCCGGATGGGCGCCCGGATGTTGTCCAGCGCGTTGACGGCCCGGCAGACGTACTCCCCGTAGTCGGAGTGCTGCAGGTGGGCGATGCGCAGGACCGAGGTGTACACGTCGTTGTTCTCCAGCCGCGTGCTGATCTCGTAGTGGCCGTCGGAGGACATGGTCAGCGGCGAGGGGTTGTTCCCGTACTGCCACTGGAACTCCGGCTTGGGGTAGGCCTGCACCCGGCAGACCACCTCCGCGGACTCGCGCAGGTCGAAGGCCACCTTGTTGTACTGGTGCATCACGATGGGCTCGTGCTCGATCCGCAGGTGCATCGAGGAGTTGGCCGAGTTCACGTCGTTCTCGTACAGGCAGGTGTACAATCCTTTGTCGCTCGGCAGCAGCTGGTTCGCATTCGGACGCGCCTTGCCCCGGAAGCGGAGGATGCTCTGCACCGCCACCACCCCGCCCCCGGCGTCGGTGGGCGTGGTCCGGATGTCGAACAACATCTTGCGGGTGGGCAGGATCTCGGTGCCGTCCTTGATCCAGCGGATCTGCGGCGTGGGCTTGCCCTTGGCGCTGCAGGTCACCGCGTAGTCGGCGTCGCCCACCCGGCGGGTCATGTGCTGCTGCAGCTTGGCCAGGAACTGCGGCGGCTGGTGCACCTCCAGGACGATGGTGGCTATCTTGCCGATGCCCAGCTCGTTCACCGCGTGGCAGTGGTACTTGCCCTCGCTGCCCAGGTGCGCCTTCGGTATGGAGTACTGCGGCCCTTGGGCCAGGATCTTCTGGGTGTTGCCGATGTCGCCGTCCATGTCCCGGAACCACCGGTACTGCGGCACAGGCCATCCGGGTGGATTGGCGGAGCAGGTGAGAGTCACTCCATTGCCCACGTGAACCACCGGTTTGTTGGGGGTGATGTACGCCTGACCAGGTCGGTGTCGCACCAGCAGGGCCACCGTGGAGTTGCCCACCCCCTCGATCCGCTTCGAGCCGAACGGCTGCATGATGTTCACCGAGCGGCAGATGTAGTTGCCGGCGTGCTCCGCCCGCACGGAGCCCAGAGTGAGGAGCTCGCCGGTGTAGCGGAAGTCGGGGGCGCCCTCCTTCAGCCACTCGATGTTGATGGGCGAGGGGTTCGCGGTGACGTTGCAGCGGATCAGCACGGTCTCGCCCTCCTCCGCCTCGTGGGTCTTCGACTCGATGACCACGATCGGGGGGTACAGGACGTCCAGCACGATGTCCTTCTCGCCGGTCTTGCCCAGGCCGTTGTCCGCGCTGCAGGTGTACTTGCCGGCGTGGTGCCGGTTCACCCGGTAGATGGTGTGGGTGGGCGTGGCACTCACGTACTGCCCGTTCCGCGACCACCGCACATTGCTCACCATCGGCTTGGCGTCCACGCGGCACTCCAGCTTCGCCACGTGGTCGCGCTCCACTCGCAGGGGATTCTGGGGTCCCACCTCCACTCGGGGGTAATCTGAAAAGCAGAAGGAGAATCGCAATCAGCTGTGAAATACGAGTATGTAAATTCAGTAAAATATCCCTCCTAATGTGTTATTTTTATAGCGAGTAATCCCGACCATTCGAATTTATTTGAACAAAAGTTAGCACAGAAACTAAAACAGAAACTGCGGCCAGCAATGCTTATAATTTATTCACTCGCCCGCCGCAGTTATTTTTTCGGTTCATTTGGGTTAGCATAGAAATAGGCAATTACAGTGGCTGGTTTCGATCCGCTCCTAAGTTGGCTTGTTGTTCGGGCCATTAACTTGTCAATAACCGTTTTCAATTACACGACGACGGCCACATAGTTCCAGGCAGCAAAAAAGCTCCATAGCATTAAAGGACTTTGACGAGTGCAGCGTGACCCATCGACATTTTTAAATATTGCCATTTTGTGGAGGCAAAAAGCAATATGTGTTTACTAGTGTGTATATTGGGCAAATGGCTCTAGAAATGCCGCAAGTGTTCTGTGGGGATTTTACAGTGGTTGGAGATAGTTCTTTTATTCATTATTTGCTATATATTTTATTCAGCTCTGTAATTTAATCTTCTTTCGATTGCATACATTTTGTTTGGCACAACATCGTTTAATTGGATTACTTGAGCTTGGCATAACACAGGATTTCAATTTTCAATGAACAACTGAACAACTTTACTGTCAAATCTTCATTATGCCAAAACAATAAATACTTTTTCGATTGGAGGTCATAATTGAAGCGTCGGCGATAACAGCTCCACTACACTTTAATCGGTGGTCCAGTCTTCAGTTGGTTTTTCTGTCATTTATCTGCCAACTTTTCCCATTTCCAAATGTCGGGAAACCTTCACACTCCCCGTAACTCCTCGATGCTCGAGCGATTCACTGACTTTTAGTCGTTTAACTCACCATTGTGCGATTTGGCCATTTGGTTTAAGTGCCGTTAGTTTCATTCCGTATCGAATCGGTTGCACTGCCCACCATTTTTTTCACCCCACCCCCAGATTTCCCACCCCGTGAAAAGCGCGTTCAGTCAAGCGTGAGGCATAATAGAGGCTAAGTATAATTGTTGCTGTTGCTGTTGTTGTTGCGCCAATTAACTTTCGAACACTTTAGTTTAATCACCGTCTGCCCAGCCGAACGGAATCTGACCTCCGACCTCCGACCCCCGACCCCACAGGCCCCGCCCCCTTTCTGACCATTTCCCTACGGTTATAGCTGATATAGCCCGTAGCTGTTGTCGGCCCGTTTTTTTGCCCAATTGTTTTTGTTGGCTCTAATTCGTGAAGCGAAGTAAATGTGCCTGCGTCATGGTCTGAGCTCCGAGGACTAACCAACTGGTTAGTGGAGTTTTCGCAAAACATTATAGACCAAGGAGTATCTTTTAGAAAATTGCTAAGGCTTAAAAAAACTGGTGTAACTTTTAAAGGGGTCACCCTTAACATAAATCAAGAGCTACTTTCAGTTTTTGAATAAATTAGGGAAAATTAATAAGTGAAAAAGAGAGAAAAACCGAAAATAGAAACTTTCCCTCCACCAATACCCTGCAAAAATGGAGAAAAATGCTGCGTTATCCGGGACCCAATTACGCGTCGCCCGAAAACATTAAAGCCTAACTCCTAAATGAGCGCCACAGTATGTGTGTGTGTGTGCCTGTGTAATGGTGTGCGTGTGCGTATGGCAGTGCTTGCGTGTGTTTGCTGGTGTGTGTAATTATAAAATAAAATTTAATGAGCAGCGCTCACCAGAAAAACAGAAGCCACCGCGGCGGAGGAGGAAGGAAAAAATCAAGTTTGCATTTCAACACATGCTGTTGCCACCACCCCCCAACATCCCCCCCCTCCCCCACCACTTGTGGAGGAGCCCGAGGGGCATTTTCATGCCCAGCCATCCATGTAGTTTCACGCTGATGTCGGGGTGTTGCTGCCACGCCCACCTCCCCTCCCAGCCACCTCGCCACTCCTCCGCCCCCGAAGTGTTAGCCTAGTCCAGAGCCCTCGCTGTCCTGACATTTGCCATGGTCGCCTTTTTTTGCATAGTTTTATAACAGCAAAAATGTGTAGGAAGGGGAAAAAATTAATTCTATTTCTCGAGCTGGGCAGAAAGATTTGGGGATGTTATTTGTTGGATGGCATATCAAATTCCAAGAAATAATTGTGGCTTCTTCAGGAAAGGAATTTGGGGGAATTCGTAAAGAGAATCAGGAAGCGCATTTAATTTCTAAAAAAGGAAATAATTTTATCTGATTCTTATAGCACTTCTTGTTGCAATTAGTTACTGATATTGGAATATTTTCTCTGCCGTTTTTCTTTTCGAATTACTGCAGAAAGAGCATTACCAGTTCATTGACTTGAAACCTATACCTCGTACCATATTATTATTTTTTTGTACAATTTTTTAAATGAGTTACCAGGGGTGGGACCTTGTTCACATGTATGCTGGCACGCCTACCGCTACGCCTACAAGCCTTTTCCTTTTCCCCGCGAATGCTCCCCACATTTCGCCACTCCTTCGCCTTGCACATTGTGATTTTATGACCGGCTACATTAGTGCCGTGAAATATGCTCCTCCTGCAGCTGCACCTGCACCTGCACCACCGTCCGGCCAAACATAAACCACCCATCGTTAACCCAACACAATCCCAATCCCACCCATCCCACTCCCCATCCCACTCCCAATCCACAACCAAAACCCAAGCCGACTCGACGAGATCCTGGCTTCCGGCTAGGCAGCGTTAAATAAAAATGAAACGTTGCGCATACGCCGCGTTGGCCGTGGCGTAACTTATGCCCGCTGGCCATTTTTGCAGCGAAATTTAATTATTTAACCCGGAACTGGGCCGAACTCAGGTTTTTGTTGCAGCCGCTCGCTGGTTTCTCGTTCGCTGTTCCAGGATGTATCACACACACCTGCTCCGAGTGATTTTAATGAGTCGAGTTTGCAGTTTGGCTTTAAGCTTCTCTCTGGTTATGACTCGCCCACGGGGCACCGCGAAAAAATATGGTGATATGATCAAAGGTGCAGGACTAACCCAAATTTTAAGCCATTAAACCAACCAGCTGTGCGACCAGATTACCATAATATAACCAGCCTTTAAAAAATGAGTTGCAGAGTCTTAAAACTTCAAAAATAGTTTTTTATATGTTACTATAATCTTTGTGTGATCTTGTGACCAATAAATTATTGCATATTTTTTTGCAAATAGTTTGAGTATGCAAGCTCATTTTGTTGATTAAGGGCAAATTAATTTCACTGGAACTTTAGGGAGGTGCGAATCAGATGCTGCTGAGATTTTTCCAAAGTGTGGCAGGAGTTGCTTTGTTCAGCTGGCGTTTTCCGCCCCTGCTTTCCATCTTGTCCAAATTGAAAAGTTGCTACCGACAAAGGCGGCAAACCAAAGCAGTTGTATGGGGAAAGCGGTGCGGATGCAGCTGCCGCCGATCCTTCTGCTCCTTCGTCCTTCGTCCTTCGCCTGCTGTCGCGTACGTGTCACAGTGAACACATCACGTGACTTCCGGCGCGCGTGCTCTCAACACCTAACCGCCACCCGCCTTTCCGCGCTTTCCCAGGCTTTCTCCAATTTTCCCCCATTTTCAGCACATTTCCCCCGCCTTTCAACAGCCAAAAAATAAATATCGAAATGCCAGAGGGAAATGCGTTTAAATTAAGAAACCGAAGGGGAGCAGCGTGTTCTTTTTTGGTAGGGTTTAGCAAAAATGAGCTAAAGTCAATAATTATTAAAGTGAAGGAAACGAAATCAATAAAGACATATTTATGGAATACTGAATAAAACTTCCATTACAAAAGCCCAAATGGCCAGGGCGTGTACACGCTGTGGTTTTTAACCAATAATAGAATCACTGGCTTCTTGAAAAAAAGACCACTGAAAATGCCACAACGTCGAGATGGCCAATACTCGTATATACAAACGGATTTAAAATAAATCAGGCGGTGGCCGCACGAGAGTGTAATCATTATGCTGCGAATATTTCGCACCCAGCACACTTTTGGCCCACTTCTGGCCCACTTTCGCGGGTCCGCTATCGTCGGCTTATAAAAACTATAGCATGCTTTTTTGGGCCGGCGCAAAAAAAGGGGTCAGTTCGGAAAAAGGGGCGGTCACTTCATTGTGCACTTGATTGCGCTTTGTGCACTGGTCCATAGGTGTCATATGGCTGGTGGAAATTAATTGAATTGGCTTTGGACGCTGTAGCGGCAGTGAGTACAGTGAGTACTGAGAAAACAAAAACAAGTGGCCGGGTCCTTTGGAGCACTTGCGGTCGATGATGAAGTTGCCGTGTTGGGCGAGCCAAAAAGTGCAGTGCAGTTAATTGAAATTGGTCAAAGCAATTAATTTGCTTTTGTCACAAAAGCTGTTAAGCTGAAGCACAGGACACCCGAAAACACTCGACCAGAAGAATCCTTTGACGCAACATTTGTTTCTATAATTTGCGCTTAAAGCGGCTTAAAGTTTTTTTTTCAACTACCTTTGCCCGGCTACTCGAAAAGTCTCAAGTTGAGAGTTCTTCCGCTGGAGTGCAGCACTCGAAAGTCCGAAAGTCTAGCTGGGCTTACTACAACAATGCAGCATTCATTAAAATGCTGTTAAAAGCCAGAAAATTTAAACTTTCTCGAAAAAAGTTGAGAGAACTTGAAATCTGCTTAGTAAACTGAGCCGGGGTCCCAAAAAATCGCCGTCAGTGAATATTTTCAAGGGTACACCGTAACGTTCCTGCTTAAACAAAACTAATTTGTATAATTATAAACAGATTAATCTAACCAATTGTATATTCGCTTTATATTATCGAAGACTCAAATGAATCTAAAGAACAACTCAATATAAAAAACTCTCTTTAAGTACAATTTGGAAAGCCTAAAATGTACTTTTCCTGAGTGTAATTGCTGGGCAGAGTATTCGGTTTATCTTCGTCGCCCGCCGCATTCCTTTTGTGGTTATGCAAATGGCCAAGGAGCGGGCCAATAAGCGGGTCCAGACCAAAAACAGTTGGCTGACATTGCCCGGCACTGACACTAATTGCAATTGTGTGCAGCATTAGCACGACTTTCTGCTCCTGTCCTGGTGTAAAAAGGTTTTCGTGTAGCCAAGTCAGCAGACGTCGCTTACTTGATTTTCCGGCCCCCTTCCCCTTCCCTTTCCGCCGCTTTCCCTCCTTTCTTCCCATTTTTTTTGCTGCCACTTTTGTGGCCCGGCAGTGGCATAATCAAAAAGGACAAGCCACGAGTCTCCTACTACTCCAACGATATTGGCAAGACTCGAATCTCGAGACGTGCTGACTTCAGTGGGATGTGATTGGGATTCGAATTCGGATGCGGATTCGGATTGGGATTGGGATTGGGATCGGGACGGCCCCGTGGCTCGTTTCCATTGAATGTTCGCCTGTCGTGTCAAGGTGTCGATGTGGTGCGATGTGGTTTGCTGCGACTGCACCACAATTACCGGTGGATGTGCGGACTGGGAGCCGTGGAAAAATGCTGCTGCCAAGCTAAATTCATTGAACTCTAATAAATGTAATAAAAACACCAACCGAAAAAAAACCATCAATACATGCTCTTGAAACTTAAGTAAAAACTAGAATGCCTTCTCCAAATATTTGGCCATAAAGAAGCAATTTGCAGGCGATTCCAACTGCCATTTCCGCTTCTGTTTGTTTGGGCAATCTTCTGGCTAATGCGCATTATTGTCGTTCGACATTTGCATGCCGAACACCTGGGCACCACTGCACCGCAGCACCACTCTGCACCACCCACACACGTGGAAGTTTTTTTTATTCAAATTGAAATGTCTTTTCAACGGGTTTGCTTTCCACTTCGGCGGTCCGCGACACATGAGTGCTGTTTGTCTTCGTCGCTGGCGACTTTTTGGCCAAGGACTCCGCAAAAAGCAAGAAAACAAAAAGTGCAAGGAACAAAAGGGAAAAGCAAGTCGGAAAACCTTTGGCTGACTATTGAATATCCTTCTGGTAGGGCAGGGCATTACTCAATAAAAAAGTAACAGGAAAAGAATGGTAGTATGGGGACTATAAAATTAAATATAAATTTAAAATCATTTCGTTCTATTTATATTTTTCTTATCCTTCCGTATACCTTCACTTTCTTCTTTGAGTTCTTGTGTTCCTCTGATTTCCAGGCACCCTTCCACCTGCAGTACCCATAAAATTCCGCGCTTGACGCGTATGAAAAGTGGGGGATTTATTTGGGTGGCAGAGGATTGGCAAAGGTTTATTACGTGCGGCGCATGCAAGTGAACAAAAGTCACGTGCAGGACGACACACCTGTGTGTTTTGCGAGGGGCTGCAGGTGGGAGATTGCATTTGCTAAACCCCTCTTCGCTGGCGAGGGGGTGGGGATGGGGGGGAGGTCTACAAGATGGAACGTGCCTCTCACGTGTGCAGCAAACTGTGCCAAGTTGACAAGGAGCTGGTGGCGCCCTCGTGTTTTGTCTATGCGTGGCCACGTTGCGTATGCGCAATTTGATGGCCTTGCCGCTCGAGAGCCTCCCACCTACAGCGCCGCCCGCTTCGAAGCCATATTTTTCTGAATCCATCTAGGAGAGCGCAAAAAGCACGGGGCCAGAGACATTTTCAATAATTTCATTTGGGGATTTTCGCACGTTATAAAACACTCAACGCCCGACGAGAAGTCGCCTCGCTGACAACATGACGCATTGGGAGTTTATTTTCCCGAAAATATATACATACCTCCGCCTCCCCAATTTGCTCTCTCAATTTTTTTCGTGCCTTCGGTTATTTTTTGGAATTTTTATTTCTGGTTGCTTCTGGCATAAATCAATCAAATGCAGGCACAACACGCAATGCACACACATAGACGAGCAGAGTGGAATAAACAAAGCGAAACGGCGAGATATACTCGTATGTTGCCATATATACAGTTAAGGTTACAATAATAGCACATAAAATATTTCCAATTTAAAGTATTTGCTTAACTTTCCTTAAAAACTTTCCCTAAAATAATCTTTAATAAAACTTTACTGGTAAATACATTGAAGTTCTGTTTCTTTATCCCCAACTGTATACACAGAAGAAGCTAAAAGGAAAGGGACAGCATGTGTAGGGATAGAAAGAGAGAAGAGAGAGAGAAGACACATATGAATCGAATGACATTGGCAGTGCTTTCAAGAATCCATGCAAACATTTTCAATTAAAAAAATGCCCTGCCATTTGTCAGCTGCTGCTTCCCTTGTTCCGCAATCTCCTTCCTCCTTTCAACTTTCTCCTTTCTGTTTTGTGCTTTCTCCCCGTTTTTGCTGGTGCTATCAATTGCTTATCAATCACAATCATGAGACAACGTCGTCTTAGCCCCACATTCATATCTGTCTCAATGCAGCTGTCGCACAGTGCTGCTAAAACTGTGAAGCATCGGAAATGTTTTTTTGGGCCAACAAGAAAAGCGAAAATTGGAACAGGATGTTTGACTTCCTACTTTCAGGATTTATGGGGTGAAGGAAAAGGCACATGATTAAGGTGATCGAATATGGCACACCCTTTTAGGAACCGAATTTTATTGAATGATCTAAAACTAGAATTGCAAAGATATTTGATTTAAAACATTCCCTTTGAAACCAGGACTATCCCCCTACTATAGCCCTCAAATCAGGGCCTCCAAAATTAGGCAGTCAAATTAGGGACTACAATTTCCGTTCGTCCGCAGGCGCTCCTCCTACAACGACTGTCAAACTGTACTCGATTGGCTGTCTGCCATGGATTTCAGATTGGGGCCTTTATGGATAGTGTGCCGCCTGCAGGCGTTTTGGAAGCCACTGAAACGCAAAAGCACCGCCGCAAATTCAATTGTTCTTGTCGAACGTCTCGCAAATCGCAGTACAAAGTTTGCTGATGTGGCTGCTGCCGTTGAAACTTGCAAAGCCCGGAGGCTCCTTCCACATAAATGCAGCTCGGAGGCCCACTTTTGACCCGGCACACAGCACTCGGGGGCCCCGAATGTTGGGCAAACATTCGAGCGGACCTGACTGGCTGCTAATGGATTTTAAATGAGCCCCATAAATAGCAGCAAGTCGTCCTGCCACACGCCGAAAAATTGCATTTGCCACGCCTGCCGCAGCCACACAAGCAACTCCACTTTCGGGACTCCCCGTCCTCCTTTTATTTAACCACTTGCCTGTTGTCATTTATTCCTGTTCTGTTTGGCGTCTGTTTTGGCTCGGTTATTGCTCTCTTTGTTGGATTTATTTGGCCTTTGCCTACCCTGTATTCGCTGCATATGTTTTATGAGTCATACTAAACTTAAATATGTATTTGGTATAGCAAGGTGCAAGTTATAAAAAATAGTTATGTGCCAATATTTAAAGCAATTAAATATGTTTCCCCTTGAAAATACCAACAACTTCGGCTTGGTTTTATACCACGCTTTAATAAGTACCTTTTGGTCAGTAAGAAGAGTTCCCTGCGCTTACTTAGACTGACTTTCTGTATTTTTTTTTCCAAAGAGAAAAGACTATAAATATTTGTTACGCTGACGTCGCTGGGGGAGAATCACACACACAGAGCACATATTTATAAGAGACATTTATATATATAAACACATATGAGTTGTTCTTGTTGGCTGCCTTTGCGGCTACAAATCCGGCGTGTATAAAAATGACTGCAATTTATGTTTTCCTATGAATATATTTGCGGCAAGCCCGGCTCCTCTCCTCCTTGCCACCCACTGAATATATATATATGTATTTTTCTGCCTTTTATTGCTAGTTTGTTACTTTATTTGATTGCATAAATTTTATGCAGATTCCGTAACATGTCATTGCTAGTGATTTTTATTAAATGCAGCGCGCGGTGACAAGTAGATTGCGCATACGTCGCGTTGTCCCGAAAATTTAATATCCGCCTCAAATGTGTTATGATGTTTTGGGGCCAAGCGGGCGGGCTGAAGTTGCCAACTAATATGACAAGTTGATGCTCCGGTCATTCCGCACCAGATTTCTCTTGTTGTGGCCCAATAACTAACAATCAAGTGGTTGTGTCTGTGTGTGGAGTTTCGGGGGAACTTTCTGCTGGCAGACACTTTATGTGTCTCGTGTCATCTGCTTGGCTTTTCGGTCACGTTGATCATGCGACAACAACACATGTTCCCATAACGCAGTTGCCAAACTTTAATTACAAAAGAAATGGCCGAAATGAAGGATGGGAATTCGAAAACAAGTTTGTCGAGCTCACCTAGGAAAATACTCGATTTACCTACGGCCAAGTTTTGCAGGTAGAAAAATGTATTTGCTTTAGATGAAGTTGAGGCTAATTAAAATTGTTTTTTGTTTGGTTTAGATTTCTACTCTGCCTCAGATTTGGTTAAGACTTCTTACTCTATTCATTAATTGGTGTAGATGCTTTTAAAAAATCGAGTGTTGTTGAGAATTAATGGAATATGGGCTTGCTATAAATCTTTTAACTTAAAGCTTCGCTAAGGCAAGCTTCATAACCAAATTCATTTGCGCCTGGAGTTTCTGGCTATTAATAAAAATTGCTCAGCCTCAAGCCGTAAATTGTATTTTTGTCCGCTTTGACCCAGACTGACCCACCAATTTAACTTCATCAGGGCAAGCACTTCGCCAAGAAGCGCACTGAGATGAAAAACCTAGTAGTTTTTCTTCCTAAAAAACTATTTGAACCCTTTCTGAAGCTATAATAAATTATAGTGCTGTGTTGTTTTTGATCAGAGATTTGATTTACTTTGCTTTACTTTTGCATGGTAAAAAATAAAATGTTTTGAATGGTCTTAAAGTATTTTTTGCTGTGCAGCCCCAAAACCACTACTCACAGTTGACATTCAGCGAGACGCTGGTCTCCAGCATGTGGCCCTCGGGCATGGCACGATTCCAGACGACGCATTTGTACTTGGCGCCATCGTCGGCCCGTCGGGGAACAATCTGCAGGGTGGCGTTGGTATAGTGGTTCTTCGATCCCCCCTTCAGTGCATACGACTGCAGCGGCACGGTGCTCCCCTCGCGGTACCAGCTGCAAAAAGTACACAAGTGATAGCCACGATTTAGTGCCAAGAAGTGCGGGCAGAGGGATGGCGACCATGTGCCGGGGAAGGATTATTAATGAAGGCGACCGCCCGTTTAGTGATTTACTTCACCGCACAACTGAAGGGAAATATAAAAAAACTCTACAACTGTGCGGAAAGAAAATAACATAAAGCCAGCAAATAGCTGGAATGTAAATGGGGATGATAAGAGGCACAGGTCTAAGGAAATAATTTGATTGAATCAAGTTCCCTTACGTTATCATGGGATCTGGGGAACCGCCAATACTGCTGCAGGTCAATTCCAGAGGCTTCTCCTCGGTGGCCACCGCCAGATTTCCGGGCGTGACCATCGGCGGATGGGGAGCGGTCAGCACCGTCAGATTGTAGAACTCCTGATGGACATCCGCCCCGGTTCCCTTCGCCTTGATTCGGCACTCAAAGCGTCCATTATCCCGATTATAGGACGTGTTCTTGATCTGCAAGTCGTAAATACCGCGACTCGGTCGAAAGTCCAGCCTAAAAGTGAAAGAATCAAAGAGAAAATAAGCAGAGAGTTCTGAATAAAGACTGGAAGCGATTTATTAGGCATGGGAACTGCGAGGGAAAACTTTTATTTTATGTAAATTTGCCGCGCGAGTTCTCTGTTGATTTACAGCAGCTGCCGCACAATTTTATATATTTATTTATTTCTACATTTGTTTATCTTTATATAAACGCCAGTACGAAGGTTAGCATATATTTTCGTATTATTGTAAAGTTAATGCTCTGGTGGTCAGGAAGAGCAAACGCAAATGGTTCGATTGGTTTTGAGGGAAAATAAGAAGCTATTCAATTTAATATGTGAAACTATAGATCTTTGAACAACAAATATTATTATTACATTTTTATTAAAACTGTGTACCTTATGCAATTAATATTTAAAAATGACTCGTTTTATATTCCACAAAACAAGAGCTTAGTGAACTCGCTTTAAATAATTCCCCCAAACAGAATGCACCATTCAAAGCAGAGCATCCTCCAGTTCGTGTTGTTGAGATCCTGGGAAATAAATTTCACATCACTTGTTTTCGTTAAGTAGCTTCCATACCCCACCCCACTTCCCTCCACACACTTCAGCTTGTTGTTCATTTTCATTTTCGTTCGCCTTCTGTTTTCCATGTTTTCACTACTCAGTGTGTGCGTTTGCCGTTGGGTTTTCCCTCGATTTCATTTTGGGGGGGCTTAAAAGCCGTGTTCCGAGTCCCGGCGCGAAATAAAATGAAAAATGCTCATGGCAAATTAAGCGTCGAACTCATTTTTGTAAATTTATTAGCCCAATTCTGTGCCGGACTCCGGTGCCTGGGGTCTTGTCCTGGGCATTACATTTTTATTAATTTAACATGGCTACCTTAATGACGGAACTTGGTGGGAAAATGCCGGATTGACTTGCTAAAACCAAATGGAAAAACTCAATCAACCGTAATAGCTTCGGAACTCCCAAGAATCTCCCCGGCACATTTTATTTCAATTTCTATTTCGCAGAGGGTGGGAGTTTGCAGGATTGGCGGAACCTTTGATTTTTTAAATACGAATAAGAAATATTTTAAAGGTTTTTCCAAACAAACTCTGCTTCCAGAAGCTTAACTGTTTATGTTTGGCTTTCTTATGAAGTAATTTTTCGCTAAAGAAATTAAACTGTGTACTGAAACAGAGGTGTGAGAAATATCAAGCAGTCGAAATTATTAAAGTGCATCTTAAAAACTTCACAGGTAGTGGAAAGAGATGTGAATCTTTTCGGGGGCTAAAAAAATGTCCTAAAAAACGCCAAATTTGCTTCATTTCTTTCAAAAGAAACCTGTGCATGTGTGGTAATAAGAAAAAACAGGAAGGCAGAAAAGCTGAAAAGCAGAAAAGAAACGGTTGCATTTCGTAGCTGAGGCAGAGATTTCATCTTGGCTTTCCACTTTTTCTTGCAGCATTTGCCATGCATTTCCGCCAGCGACTTTTACGAGGCAGAGGCTCTGCTGAAAGGATGCCGAGGAGCGGATGGAAACTGCGAGGAAAATGGATGAAAAGCGGTTGCGGAGCTGGGAAAAGGAGTCGTGCATGCGAAGCACATAATTGCCTCTGCCAGGAGGCCTCTGATGTCCTTGCAGCCTCGAAAAGAAGGAATTTCTAATGTGTACTTAAGTGCTGTAATTCTGCCCTCCCCCCTTTTGGCATCCCCGCCCTTCCCCCCTCGGTTATTATGTTGCATCGTCGCAGGACTTATGCAAAACAGTCGCTGAATTGTTATGCAAATTGTTGCCAATTACTTGGCAATGCCTCCTTCTGCATCGGTGAGCACATCAAGTTGGCTCACCCACACACACGCACCACTTAACGGAAAGTATTGAACAATTACACTGACCTACATGCCAATGGAAATGGGAAACGGGAGATGGGAAAATAAAAACATTTCCTTGATTGAACTTTAGCTATGCATTCGTACATGAAGATAGAGGAATATAATACTTTGCTAAGCGAAGAATGCTCCCACTTTCGGCACAGTGTGGCCTCCCTTGACGGAACGGAAGGAGACAGCGGAAAAGTCGGCTGGCCAGCGCAGCTCGCAAACTTTTCCCCCACTATCAATCGAGCGAAGAAAACAGATGGAGCCGGGGAAATTGGGGGGAAAACCTGAGGCGAGCCACTTGGCTTGTTAACGGTAACTAAAGCTCACTTTATAGTTGCTCGTGGGCGGCGGAAAAGGGGCGTGGGCTGATTATGTTATTATCGGTTTAGTATCGAAGTCTTATGGCTCGTTTTCTTCGTTGCCCGTCTCATGTCTCATGTAATTCAATTTGCCGAGACATCCTTCGCCGCCTGGGCTTCTCTTTTTCCTCTGACAGCTTCGCATGCCAAGGAGTCGTCTCCTGAAAGTAATACACTTTTTTCCCGTTTTCTCTCATTGAGAAACTTTGCGCACTTCAGAAAAAGCCTTCTCAACGTTTAACTATTTTCTCTTTATACGGTACAAATATCTTGATTTTAAACAGGGAAGATAAAAACGAAAGGGAACTACTATTTGGTGTAACCATTTTTATCTAGTAATAAGTTTTCTAATTAAATAGTCTTGACAGTTCATCAACATAATTATTAAAAAAAAAAATAATATAAAAAACCAAATTTGAGTCCACATTTTTTATTTGAGTGCAAAAAGGGAAGCTGAAGGGGGGCTGTTGAGGGCAAAAAAAAATAAAATGTAAACGCGCCAAATTTGACGCGGGGCAAGGACGATGGGCTGCCACACCCCCGATTGTCCTTTACGCCCCCCTCAACGATGTGCGTTATGTGCGGATAATTGACTTTTAAAATGTGTGTGCGATATCGCAACAAGAGCAACAGAACAGATGTTGGGGCGAAAGGAGAAGGGTCGTGACGTATAATTAAACGGCATATTGTCACGCATCCCTGAAACTGAGAAGAGGGAGAAAGTGAAGGAGAAAGTGGCGGAGACCCAAAGTGAATGAATCAGGGGGAAAGAGAAAGCGAGACAGAAATAGGGGAAGAGGGAAAGGGAAGGAAGAAGGCCCGTTCTCAGTTGTATTCGCTTTCGTTTTTGTTTAGACTTCAACTTTCTTGTTGCCCCCTCGCAAAATAAATAAGATGGGGATAAATAGCTGTATTATTAGCTACAGGATTTTAGTTTGAGTAAGAGCTTCAAGGATAGCACACAATAGAATCTCGGAATCAATAAAGTTTCAGTTGCAGGCTTTTAACTTTCTGAGCTTAAGTACAAAGACAAAGCATAATGAGTTAAAAAGAAGTTAGAAGTTGATTAACGTAGAATCTGAACCAAAGATAGTTGTGCTAGAGAAAGTCTAATTACTAGAAGTTGGACAAGTTCTTTACTAGTCAGTGTTTTCTATAATCTGCTTAATGAATATCTGTGGCTTGCCACTCTCCATTCCTCAAACCACTCAAATAATATCCTAATCCCTTTGGAGCACTATAACTTTCGAAATTTGTCAACTTTTTAACAAGTCCCACCAAAAAAACAGGATAAATAAATGCAAACAGCCCAACAAATCAGCGAACAACAGAACTCACTCCTCAGGCGAGGCGTTCATCAAGTTATTCACACAATCTCCGTCAGCTGACGGACCTTTACCCCCAACCCCCTTAATCCGCAGCCCCCCTTTCCCCTTCGACCCCCTCAGCCAGCCCTGTCCATCCAAAACTGGTCCCAACTGGCAGTGCCAGTGACTTATTTATGCAAATGGCCATAACAAATGAGGCGCATACACTCGACGCTCCGAGGGGGTACGAAAGGGGCGTAGGGGGCTGGTTTTCGGGGGGGTGAGGCAACATTCTAACCACACAGTGGAAACGATTAATTTGGTGCCCAGTTCAGATCCGAAACTCAAACGCTGTCCGAGCGATCCGAATGGGAAAGCCCGAGGGTTGGTAATTTCGGGGGGCAGGGGTGTGGCAAAAGGGGGTGGCGGCGCTGGATGCAATGCATGTCTCAATCGTGCAACATGGCAGCTCATCAGTGGCTGCCAGAAGGGGGATTACTGTACTGTGAGGCGGCCTCATTATTGAAACATGTTGCTAACATTTGTTATGCAAAGGCGACATTCATGCAAAATGCGACTGGGTGGGCGGTCGAAGGGGGGAGGGCACACATATCTGTATCCATCATGCTCATTGGCCCCCCATTTCGTCCTTGGGTTTTCCTACATGGTAAAAATTAGTTGGGTAAGCCACAGTTCGGTATCACTTCTGATGCTAGTTTAAATACTATTGTTTGCTATAATTATTAAATGGTTAAGCCTCTGATTAACATGGAGAGGGAAATCAATTAAATTAATCATTGAAAATTAAGTCCGGTTTGTTCTTCGGTTCATATATCGCTTTAAAACTTAGAAGTGTTATAGAGCCTTTAAACTCTAAGAACAAAGTATCTTGAAGGTATTCTATAATTTTATAGCGTTCTTAATATTGGTTACCTATTGTGCAAAAACCTATAAATGCCTGAGAAGCTGCGTTATTCTGCTCCATTTTTTAGCGAATTTAACCAGACAGCGCCTTGTCATGGCCCCATTCCACAGTCTGATTTCATCTGTGTTGACTTTATCCACTATTTGACGACTTGCCCTACACAATTGGATTTGCCAGGGGAATTGGTACAACATCGAGCCATTTGAGATACTAATTTTATCATTTGTATATTATTTTAAACTTGGAAACTTCTGGCTTGAGGAGGAACTTTAAAATCGGCCATCTTGAAATGGAAATGTAAATTTTGAATGCAGTTTGTTAAGAAGATTTGATCATGAGACGGAAAAGTCTGAGTGCAGTTCGTTTTGGAATAGAGTCACAATCGATAGCAGGTTTGCTACTTTGGCGTTGGACAAAAGTTGTGGAAGTTGTAGGTTGGAAGCCCCAAGTTACCCCCATATATCCCTGATGTCGCCCTCACTGAATGTCGCTTTGTAGGAGTGTGTGTAAGCGCTTGCTTTCCAACGTTAACGGTAAATGCGTGCAAATGA